TTTTCCTGGCCCTGGATTTCAGAACAGCCTGACACAGGTGTCCAAAGTTTATGTCTCAAGCCTCTTGGAGTGTCTAGTGAGTGCCATTCCTGGGTCTTGTCCTCCTAGAAAGCAGTTGAAAGTGTGGGGTGGGAGCCTCTCAGGGGAGTAGCTGGAGGTCCTGCCAAGATTTTCCTTTCATCCAAAAGGCATTTCCACTGTTTGTTTGGTTTTAATAAGCTACTGTGAATAGCAAAAATGATGTAAGGTGTGTAGCCATTTGTTTGACACACCTATTCCAGTCTCTTTAGCTGTATACCCAGACTTATTACTACTGGATCAAGCAGTAGTTTTGTCTTTTATGGAGATCCTTTATACTAATTTTTAAAAATCAGTACAAAAGCAAGCCTCAAGTCCAAATGTTTCTCAATAGTGGGTGTGGGTGCCTAGTGGTGGGGCTTTCTGCCTGGTGTTGTGGGGACATGAAGAAACCCCAGACCCAATTCATCTCATTCCCACTTTGGAACATGGTGCCCAGCTGACTGGAGAGAGAGAGAGGGATATGGAGACCTCCTCTCTTCAGGCTGATGTCCTGTGTGGTAATTGTGGGATCATAAATACCTTTTTGAATTTAGGTCACTTCTTATGTTTTTTCAGTTTTTTTTTTATTAGAGGATGAGAGGTGAGTAGAAGAGAATGAAAAAGGTCCTGTTGTGAATCTCATGCTAACCCTCTGATTGTTATGGTTACTGCCTAGTTGTACCAGGGCCATTGGTCATTAGGCCAGTGACTCCCTCCAGCTCTGGGTCTCAGTGCTCTATTATTGGCACTTCATCTGGTTACTGAGCTCATGTAAAGTGTCTGAAGAAGGCAGTTTCTGAGGTTGTAGGTCATGGTGGCTGCTGAAGCTTCTGCTCCTCATTTGAAGTGAAGGCATGCTCAGGAGACCCTCAACACTCCAGTCCTGAGCAACATCAAGGAAGGGTGTGAAGGCTTTACACCAGAACCACAAGCTCATAGGAAAAAGCTAAGGTTGATGTGAAATCTGCTGGACAGGTTACTGCAAAAATAGTGAAGAGATCACAGGAAAACAAAGTGAAAAAGAAGAAGACAAAGAGACAAGAAGAAATATTACCAGTTAGATGAAGCAGCCTGCACATAGTAATTGACAAAGAAACTGAATTTCTACAGGAAATTGCCTCATTGTGCTTGGAAAGCAAGCCGGGCCCCACCTCCATGAGTTTAGACTCAGAGGAAGTAATGGGTGTCCTGCAGTAGAGGCTGAGCCTCCCTTGGATGAAGTGATGAATGGATCCCAGACCTCACTCACCTCAATCCCACTCTCATACTAGGTGCCCTACTGACTTGAGAAGAAGAGAGTTGTGAGACCCTCCTGTCCCAAGGCAGTGTGATATCCTGTGTGATTATTGAAATCCAGCGATCCTAAAGACCTGTGTCACTTTTTTTTTTTTTTTCACATTTGCACTCAGAGGATTGGAGGTCAGTAAAAGAAAGAAAGGTCCTCTTGAGAAACCCACTTTACTTTCTGGTGGTTATAATCACTCCCAGTTGTACCAGTGCCATTGGTCACTGAGCCACTGCTTCCTTCCAGGTTTGGGGTTCTTTGGTTCACTGTTGGTTAAGGGAGGAGATGGGGGACCTTCAAGTATGGTGTCCTGGGCCAGGGTGTCCTGGGACCATGTCAGCAGTTTGGACTCATTAGAGGGTGTGGGCAGAGTTCTCTCATTTCCTGAGTGTGAGCCTAGCTCCTGTAGTTGATACACTTTCACAGGTGGTGTTCTGAAGAGCGAATGCCTTTTACTTTCAGAGAAATGAAAGGGAACAAAGAAGAGGCCTATCTAGAGGCATTTCTGGGGTAGAGGACCAACCTGTGCATCACACTTGCCATAGAAACCTGATGTCATTATGGCAACCATGGAGACTATGGTGCCATTCTTTAGGAGGAGTTGTGGTGAGGGCAGCAGGGCCCTGCCTCCAGGAGTTTGGACTCAGCAGGGTGTGAGTGTCCCACTGTGGGGGCTGAGCCTCCCTTGGTGTTGGAAGAGAAAGGGATACTAGACCCATGTCACACAATTTCTGCTTTTTGACAAGAGGGGGGTGGGGAGAGAGGGAGAGGGAGAGAAAGAAAGAGAGAGAGAGAGAGAGAGAAAGAGAAAATGCTCTAGGTCTGGTGTGTTCAGCATCAAGTTCTGTGGCAAGTGGGGGTGGAAAAGAAAGTGCTTCGTCATTAAATAGATCAGTATTCTAAGGAAACATTTTGAAATTTATACACAGAATAAATTCAGGGGATTTTCAGGAATTATAATTAAAGAGGCTATGATGTAAAATCATACATCAGAGATCATCACACTTTTTAAGTATAATTTTTGTTTTGATATTTCAATATGTTTAGATGTCTTCTGGGATTTAGTGCATGGGTTCTCTCTCAACCAGTGAAGAGGACTAAGGAATAGGATAGAGGAGAGTATGGCTGCAGAGTCACTAATCAAGACCTCTAGAGACCAAGCAGGTCTGACTTTATTGTGCAGTTACCATGTTTATATATTCAGGAAGTAGCTAAGCAGATTATAGGCAACCACCAATACAATTTCTGGCCAACTGTCCTTGCAATGACTAATCGAGGAGTGGGCCATAGAGCAAGTGAAGGTACTGCAACATGTGGCCTCATGCCCAGGGCTATGCCTGTGGTGTAAGCTGTTTATTGCTCACATAGCTAGCATGAGGGAGTGGTTTGCCACTCAGACACCCTTAATATATGCCATATATGCAGTAGTCCATGCACTTGTTCCCACAATTTAGTATGAATTATTTTTTTTCTTATTGGCTGAATTCCAGATGTATCTGAAAGCCTCATTTTCCTCTTATCTTAGCTGTGATATGTCTTCAAGTTGCCTTTTGTATATTACCTTATCCACACCTTCCTTAGAAGATGAAGTGTTGGTCTTAATTAGTCTCCAATATTCCTATGTGTATTTGTGTTAGATATTCTCTTGGGTGTCTTGTAATGCTGTTGTCAACTGTTCCATTGCCCTGTGGATGGCATAAAGATCTCCGTATGATGGTACTCATATACATTATTCAGATCAAATTGCTGGGAATGACATTACTGGGAATAAAGTTGACAGTGAGTTGAAGTATACAATAGATTCCTGTTGCAGTGTAGCAGGGAATTAAGGTATGGACACCAAGATCTGAAAGCAACATTTTATTAGTGGTTCCGTGGGCCAAAGAGATGGTTCCCAAAGTCTGAGCCCTTAGGACCATACTTACACATAAGCATGTTTGGGGTACATCAAGGAAACAGAGTTGGTGCAATTCTATTGCAGAGTGTAGTCTACTTTTCTTTCTGGCACAAACTTGTTAACAGCCTCGGGACTCTTTACTCAAGAATCTTAGGGTCTTTTACTGCACTAAGCCTAAAGAAGGAATGTCACCATAGCTTTGTCTTTTTCCTCTGCTACTGTGGTTTTCTTTTGCAGCTACCTGTTAACCACCACATGCCTCTATGGGTAAATGTCAGTAATCAGAGCTGCTGTATTAGCATACAAAACCAAAGCCTGTCAGCTCTTAATCTGTTGAAGTTCCTATTACTTAGATGCTTTGTTTTATTCAATTTTTTCTGATTACATTAGAATAATGGAGCTAAAATATCTGAATACTGAGAATGAGTAAGAGAAAAAAAGATGGTGGATTTGTGGGAAGTGGTGGTTCACACACAGAAAAAAATTACTTCTCTGGGAGGTGAGTGAAGGGTGGGGGGGAAAACAGTCCACTAATACTCAATATAGGAGAGAAAGTCCTGAACCTTGGAAAGTTGAAGTACACCAGACAAGGCTAAGGAGCTGTTTAGAAGCTGAACTCCTGGTGGGAATTTGGAGTGGGATGGGAGGGAAATGTATGTGTGTGTTTATGGCCCACTCCTTGTGTGTGTGTGTGTATATGTATATATATGTATATATTCTTTTTTTGTAACCATTTTAGAGGGTACAATTATTCACACACACACACACACACACACACACACACATAAATACATACAAACACACACAGAGAAGACCTAAAAATAGCTGTAATTTCTGGGATATTTGGCATGGAAAACCCCAGGATCGGAGGTGCAGATTGTCTTGGGTAGATCCAGAGGCTATTTGGCCAAACAAACTGGTATTCGGACAGGCATGGTTAGTCAGTCACACAAGAAGCTTAGACTCAAATACTTCAATGTAAAAGTGGCACAAACTTAGACTGGGTGCTTTGATTCATGAATTAAAGGCAAAAACCAGCACATAAATTGAGCAGATGCAAACTGAGCGATCTAACCTGAGCCTGGAGAATCTGACAGAGAGACAAGGTCTTGCTGAGTTTCTTAGGACCTCACTACAATGCTGAGACTACCTTTAAACTTGCTGTTCTCCTGGGTCAGGCCCTGCAAACTGCTGGGATTTCAGGATTGCACCATCTTTCCAGCACAGATATTAGATTTTAAGAGAGCAGAATTGGAAATAGAAGGAAATAAATATTAAGCCGATATAAGTTTGATCTTTGTTGTTGGCATGTTTTTGTAACACTCATAGTCAGTGTGTAAATGACTCATTCTGGGTCTTATTTCATTCAGGTTCTGCATTCTAGAGTTTGTTTCATCTAGCAGTGAGTGCCATGTGACTCACTTCTTAGGCATCTGGCTGTCCCTTTCATCAGTTGCTTCTCTGTAAAAACACAGTTGCTTCTCTGTAAAAAGATGGATCCTCATTATTCCAACACAGTCCTCTGTCTGGAGCGCTAGATGCAATCACACAAGCTGCACTAGTGCACGAAAGAGAGCTAAAGAAGGAGCCGGGAGGCCAAGGCGGCCAGGGAACTGAGCTCCTGGGGCGCTGGAGCACACTGGTGTGCGGGGACTGTAAGGTTAGACTCCAGGTGAAATACAGAGGAGCACATCCATTAACACCTGAAGCCTGTGTGTGATTTCCATTCTGTCAAGGAAACAGCCACAGCAGCAGGGATCACCACCACAAAATGCCACTAGGATGTGACAAAGTTTTATTTCAACCATAAGAAATAGACACACTAAAAATAAAAAAAAAAAAATGTGGCATTAGATGACCTTTCATAAACAGACAACTAATCAGGACTAGAGATCAGATTCACTCCAAGTGTGGCTCAGCGGTGAAAGGCTTGCCATACTTGTGCCTGGCCCTGTGCTTGATCCACAGCTCTGAAAAACAAAGAAACAATGCATATTTAAGTATACTGAATTATGTAAATATAGTAAAAACTTGGCAAGTTTCAAATATTGGTCATGATAGAGATAATACTTTTATGTATTATAATAAAATAAGCACTGAGGAAAAGAACAATTAACTGAGTCTCATACACATATAGCAACAGTATGTTCATGTAAATGTACTTGAATTCAGCTCATCCAGCTGCCATCATTTATGATTTATTGCCTAATTTTATGGGTCGGGGCCTTGACTGCTTTGTTCTTTAAAAACTGCATGATTTTTTTTTTTAATTCTGGCAAAGTGCATGTAAAACTAAGTTTACTTTTGTAACCAACTTTAGAGGGTACAATTTTGTATCATTTTGTTTATTCTTTACATATCACTTTTTATATTTTACATGCAGATTCACCAGTTCCCACCAGCAGTTATTCCTTGTTTCTGCTCCACTTGGCTCCTGGCATTTTTCATCAATTGATTTTCTTATTCTCAAAATAGTATATAATATCACATATAAAATACATGGCACTTTTTTTTCTCGGATTCATTTCCCTTAGTGTACTGTTCCCCAGCTACATATCCATTGTAATATTTTAGTGCTCTCGATAACCATGATTGCTGGATGTGACTGAAGTTGTATCTCAGGGGTAAAGTGCTTTCCTAGTAGGCACAAGACCCTGAGTTCAGTTCTAGAACTGCCAAATAATATTGCTGAATAATATTACAATGCAGACATACCAATTTTCTATTGTCCATTAATATTGTGTTGTTTTCACCATTGAGTCTCATTCAGTTATAAATACTCATGTGTTAATGAGAACTCATCTGAGCACATGCTTTCAGTTATTTATGGAACTTTTTAGGGGAGGGTTCTGCTTATTTTAGTATTTTATCAAGAAACCACCAAGGTATTTTCCATATTGAATGCAAGATTTTATATTGTTATCAAAGGGGTCTGTAAACTTTTCTACAATCTTCACATTTTTTTCCTTCATTTCTTAGGTTTATTTTTTTTTTAATATTGGACAATTATTTCTTCTCAGGACCCAAGACAATGACATTTGTACAGACAAAAGTCACCCCTACTTGTAAGTTATGATACTGAACACACAAGATTTCTGCCAGGGGGTTTTAGCCAGTGACAGGGTAAAACAAATCAGATCTGTAGAGGAAATATAGTTTGTAGGAGGTCAGCTAGACAGTAGGGCTTGTTGTTGACTGATCAGTCTCAATAATTTTGTGTGTCCTGGGATGTATACAGTTTCACTGTAGGTAAGGTTCCTTGCTCTGGGGTGATTCTGGAGGGTACAAAGTGGCAGTGCACTGTAAGAGCCAGAGAAAAGAGGAGGCTGGGCTTTGAACTCAACTGGATTCTCAAAAACGTCAGTGAGTGCTAAAAAGTGAGTATAAACAGATCTTCAAAACCACACAAACCAAAACACCTAATGTAATGGTCTTTACTTTCCTTTTTCTTTCTGCACAGAAAAAAAAATTGTGTATTGCCCTGATTTAATCATTACACAATGTATACTTATGCCAACATATCGAACTGTATGCCATAAGCATTTTCAATTGTTATATTTCAATTAAAAAGAAAACATTTGAAAAACAGAAAAGCCTTAAAGAACAGACCTGCTAATGATTCAATTATATTCTCTAAGTAATATTTAGTCACTTTGGATTCCAAATAAAATTGTAATGCTATTCCAATTTTCTACTGAATTTATTAAAAAAAATAGCAGTTGAATCTTATGGAATATTAAGTGTCAAATTTTCCTATAAAAATATAATTGCAGTTTATATTTTATACAATGAACTGTGAGTAGGAACAATCTACAGTATCTTTAAATAGAATAGGAACAATCTACAGTATCTTTCAGAGAAGAGAATTATAGCAATTTGACAAATTGGGACCCTGAAGCAAGGAGATCACATAACTTATTCATTCTCTGAAATCTCAATGATGGTACTACAGGAACAACTATATTAATATCATTTAATCTGCAGCTATTTTGATTCATATCACTAATTTATAATCTATGCATTCTATTGTTTAGTATAAAATTTCACAGAAAATTTTTAAAATCAAATTTATTTATTTATTTGTGTGTATGTATTTTTGAAGCATATCTAAGGCTCCACCCACTGGTCAGTCTAATTCAAGAACATTTGATTCAGTACTATTTTTATTTTTTTAAATAATTTTAGCTGTTATATTTAAGTCCAGAATGATTCTGAGTTAATTATTTATATAATCCCATGTAAAATACATTATCACTCTTTTGCATTAAATATGCAATTTTATTCCTATCTTATTTGTGGAAGATGCTATTCTCACTTGAATTAACTTGAGAACCTTGTGAAAAATAAATTTGCCATAGCTGTACTTTGTGATGCATGCCTGTAATGCTAGTGGCTTGGAAGGCTGAAGCAGAAGGATTATGTGTTCAAAGCCAGTCTCAGCAACTTAGTGAGGCCCTAAGAAACTCAGTGAGTCCCTGTCTCTTAATAAAATATTAAAAGAGTCTAGGGATGTGACCCAGTGATTAAGTTCCTCTGGGTTCAATCACTGATATAAAAAAAATAACAGATAACAGAGTTGGGCAGCTTATTTTTCCACTGCCCATTTTCTTCCACTGATACATTTCTAGATTTTTTTTAAATCAGGGATTTAACCCAGAGACACTTAACCACTGGGGCCAAATTACCAGCTCTTTTTAATGTTTTATTTTGAGAGAAGTTCTTGATAAGTTCCTTAGAGCCTCATTGTATTTCTGAGGCTGGTCTCAAACTTGCAATCTTCCTGTCCAGCCTCCTGAGTCTCTGGGATTAAAGGTGTGCATCACCACGTCTGGCCAGGAAATTCTTTAAAACACTTACTGAGGGTTAAAATAACTATTGTGCTTAAGGTGATAAGATATGCTAATGTCACTAATGTGCACCATATGTTATAATTGTAGTTCAAATTTCATTGTTTTGTAAATAAACAATAATTAACAAGAACTAAAAGTAAAATTTTTAAACATTTATAATGTTTCTATTGTCTATGTATATATATATATATATATATATATATATATATATATATATATATATATATATCCATAGACAATATATATATAAAATTTAGTGATTATATATATATATATATATATATATATATAATCACTAAATTTTTCCCTAAGATTTTTTTTCCTTAAGATTGTTTTGAGTAGATTCTTCAAGTATATGATTAAATATCACTGCTATCATTATGGCCTTATTGGAAATTAATGTGAGTTTCTTATAAATATTTTTACTGTGGTTAACATCAAATAATGATGAATTATGTCACTCATCTCTGAATCTTATTATTTATTTATTTTTGTTGTGCTAAAAGAGAAATTCAGGGCCTTGCACAGGCTAGGCAACTGATCTACCACTTAACTACACCTACAGCTTCATAAATGTTACTGTTCAATATTGGTAAGTAAAAAATTATTCAAATGTACAATTAAAATAATTTGCTATGTTTATTTGTAAGTCGTATATATATATATATATATATATATATATATATATACACACACACACACACACACACACATATATATATATAAATGCATGCATACATGAAATTCCTATATTTTCTTGTGGTAAAGTTTTTTGAGGGTATATAAATATAAAGTGGAATTGAATATTACATGATACTATTATATATAATTATGATATGTACACATGTAATATTAGCAAAATATGTAATATATACTACATGTAGTATAATATAATCTAATAAAATCAATGAATTTTATACATTGCATATATGTTACATGGTATATCTATTATAAAGCATATATAATAATTAATGTGATATATGTTATAATACTGAAATGCATACAGTTTAAACATTGACTCAAAGCTTTAATAGAATGGGAAAAAATGAAAAATAAATTTTTTGAATGTAAACAATGGATTTTAGAAATCAAACAATTTGTTAGTAAGCAGCAATCTTTCTCCTCTGATGAGTCGGTCAGTTAGTAGTACTTAATTAAACTTGGGCTTGATTAAACTCTTGAGAATTAACAGCTTTCTTCAAATAAGAATTTCAATCTACAAAGCGTCTCTAAGGTAGATTGCAGAAAATATAGCAAGGCAACCCACACTGTTAATAGGCAAGTTTTCAGTGTGTTAGACACCAAAATAAAGTATCACAAAGGGAAATTTTTGAGATTAATTTTGAAAATTTACTATCATTCTCTCAAGGCTGTAAATGCTATGGCACACATAAAAAAAGAAATCAAACTGGTCATAGTAGCACTGATTCAACAATTGTATGTGTCTGTCCTCACACTATTCAGCAACTTAACTCAAGGTTTCTACCAGTGGAAGCCTGGGGTTCAGCTGCCCTCTCTGTAGGAATAAGGAAATGAAATCCTCCTTCCCACTCCCTAATTTCTCTGTCTGTTATTCAAAATCCTAACTAGCTAACATTGCTTTTTTATCATTCAAGGTAATATTCGAGAAGATGCCAAACTGCCATAACTAGGACAACATTTGTATAAAATTTATTAAAGTTCAACAGAGTTATTATTTCCCATTCATCTATCAAGTAATAACTTTATGGAAATACTGTTTTTGTCATTTTGAAGGAAGAATTAGGAAAACTATTTTTAAACAGGAAGAAGTTCTCCTCCTGAGTTACTGGAAATTATTCTCACTTATTAATCTAAGAAATGTCCGCAAACTATAATTACATGTTTTGGTAAAGTCATCATATTTGCTTTATAAAATTCTGAGTTTAAAATATTAGTAAAATTAAATAATATGAAGAATTCAAGTGCATTTCCAATTCTTTCTGATATGAATCATAATTTTTTAAAATCTAAAATACAAAGGGTAAAGTAATTGTCAAATATACAGTATAATATTTTATTTCATCATAGAAAACTCAAAACAGGTAAAAAGCCACCATGGTCATTGATTAAAATTCTATTATCTTAAAAAAACAAAACAAAACAAAACAAAAAAACATTTTAACATTTTTTATTATATCCCTCTACTTCTATTTTCCACACATTCCTATGGTATGCTAATTATTATAATTTTAAAATATTTATTCTACTACATGCATGTCACAGAGAATGAGAATAAATCAATGTGAAATATTCTCTAAGTGTGAACTCCTTCTCTCTGAGTCCCCTCAGTCATCCTCAGTACTTCACGTGTCTGCTTCTAGGGATCACATTCAGCTCTGTTTGCCCCAGATTGATTTTGAGCTGAACTGGAGGCCTCCTAGAATCCACAGTTAGAACCAATAGGAAACATTCACAACCACAAACAAACCTTTACTCCTTTTCCATGAAAATGTCCAAGGTCTCTGTCCAGCCAAGTCCAGCTCCGTACCTTGCCAGTTACCCTTGTTTTGAGGGTGTGGAAAGCTGTTTAGATCTGGGCAAAGCTGGACTGGGATTCTCCCTCTTTTGTGAGAAAGAGGGAGCTGGAACACGGGGTCCTTCAAGCTACAGAGCTGGAACACGGGGACCACATGCTGAGCACATCATTCTGGCTTTGGGCGTGGTATCCATAGGAGACTGGATACCTCTTGAAGAACACTTCTCCCACAAGCAGGAATAATCAGCTTTGTCACATGTCCTGCCTCACACTATCAGAGTCCTCGCATGGCTTAAAGTTTCTGCAAGCTGGTATTTATTCATTTAAAGCTCACACATCTACGCATTTCTTCAATCAGTCCTCATCACAATTACTGATCTATTCATTTTAGCTTCATGCAACCTGATATACAAAAGCTTCAGGAGATTCAGCATATGAGTGCAAACTGCCATGTTAGTCCATGGCAGAGCTGGGCTGAACTGGTACCATCTTTTTTTATTTTACTTTTTTTTTCCTCTGATTTCTCTCTCCTCTCCATACATACTCTCTTTGGGTGAAGCCTCAGGGGTCACAGACCTGTTGGACGGGTTGTTAGCATTTGCTTATCAACTGTTTTCCCCTTGGCCTCCTTTGTGTTGGATAATTCAGTGAGCCTGAGCCAATGATGTGGGAAGATTTGGGCTTCTTTACATACTGGCCCCTAAAATGTCCTGTGTGATGTACACACTGCATATAGGGGATCCCAAAGGACATTAAGAGGACTCAATGACTGAACCAAGTTTTTTTTAAAAAAAGGTCTCACACAGGCCCAGACCGCCTCCTCCAGAGTTCCGGGTTACTGTGGTGGGAAGATCTTCATGGTGGATACCTGCTAAGGAGAAGAGTCAGGTGAGGCCAGTAGCAGGACAAGGCTGGGTGAAAATAGAATTAGCAATGCTTCCATTGCTTGGAGAAGTCCCTTAGAAAATGTGACCAGGAGCTGGTGTACACAGGTGCCTGGGAATCATATGGAAAGAATACCCTGTTGTGAGTTATGAGGAAGAGATGATGGCAGAGAAGAGATACATGTCTGGGATTCTGACAGCATTCTTGAGAAGAACAAGATATTGCCCGAGGTCTTCAGGCTCTGCTGTCATTCACCATGGTAAATCATGACAACAAGGATTCCTCTAAGCACAGGGGCTCATGGTAGAGTTTGTCCCCAAGAATGATTTAGGTGCTGCTTTGTGGGATTGCCAGAGATTTCCAAGCATGAGCACAGAGGTAGAGTGTACTCAGTGTTTCATGGGAAAGTGGTCCCTGAGGATGGGGGTATAGGCTTGGGGGAGAAATGAGAGAGAGGGAAAGAAAGTGCAACTAGACACTTTCACTGGAACCTGAAGTGTACTTAGCCTGAATTACTTGAACCTGAAGTATACCTGGAACAGGAAAACATCAATCCTCACCTACATCATGGATATGTAAATTCATAATGGATTTTCAAAGGAAATAATGAAGAAAATATGAAAAGTTTCTAAAAGGACAATTTTAGTAGTCTCAGCATCATATTTTAACATTTCCTTAAAAATACACCAACTGTATAGATGACAGATTTTATTAAGATTAAATTTATTTTATATAAAAGCATACACATGTACAAAGAGACAGCAGATAAAGACAAGATGAGGCAAAAAGAAACACACAGTATGAGACATAGAAACTGAAATGATAGGAAATGAGACACTTGAATATGTTAGGTCTGGAATTTAGATTTTTCTATTTCCATTTTTTTATAGTTATGGTATGTCTTCTAACAAATAGGGAAGAACCCAAGGTTTAAAATTAAAGTCTTCTCAGTCTCTCCTAAGATGGTGCTTTCTTCGTGCATGCACAGTGATGTTCTAAATTTTACTATATATGCAAGTGGTCTGGAATGTTCTAGATATTTAAAGAGTGATGAGAAAATAGGAGAGGGAGAGAAAAAATGCAGAGTTAAAAAAAAGACATGAAGATTCCAAAAGGAATCTCTGTGAAGTGAAAATGATATCTACTTTGTCTGTGATGATCATTTATATATATATATATATATATATATATATACATATATATACATATATGTGTATATATGCATGTATACACATATATATGTGTGTGTGTATGTGTGTGTGTATATATATATATATATATATATATATATATATATATATATATATATATAATTGCATTCCTTAAACACACGTTAATGATATTTCAATAAAGAACAAAAACTAAAATGGCACACAATATTTAGCTTTATCAGCTTCAATATCTATCTATCCATCTATTTATCTATATCTACATATATATTATTATAAAAAATAAAACAAAAAGACAAGCTAAAAGTGTAAGTCTAATCCACTGCCTCTGTTCTTTCTTTCTTTTTTTTTAAAGAGAGAGTGAGAGAGGGAGAGAGAGAGAGAGAGAATTTTAATATTTATTTTTTAGTTATCGGTGGACACAACACCTTTGTTTATATGTGGTTCTGAGGATGGAACCTGGGCCGCACGCATGCCAGGCAAGTGCGCTACCGCTTGAGCCACATCCCCAGCTCCCCTGTTCTTTCTTTTAGTAAATCATCACAGGGCTCATCTATGAGGGTTCTGTGTTTGGGATTGGGGTCTCTGATAAACTTCATGATTGTGGCATGCTTGCTGGGTAGAAAGTTTCTGTGCAAAGGCACAGAAAGCCTGGCTGCTAGGAAGTTTCTTTGTAAAGACACAAAATGCCTGGCTGCTGGAAAACTTTTGTGTAAAGCCATGGGATGCCTCTCTGCTGTAGCAATGTCCTTTATGAAGAAGCTCTATGTTAGAGTCTTCTCAGTCTCAACCTTGATTTTAGGCATATAATTCCTGGGAATAAAGGAACTTGCTTGCTGGGATAACTACAATGTTTCAATAAGCTCCCTTGTTCCTGGATCTGCCCACTTAAAAGTTACTTTAGACAATGAATTTCTTAAGAGCTGCACAAAGCTTCTGACTTTGCATATTGTAACTGTGGAATAAAACTGCAGAATAAACAACATTGCTGGTACTCTAAGCAATAAAAATGTAATTATGGTCCTAATTACCTAATGTAACCTATCCATGTAAATAAACATTGTCACTTGGAAAAGCATCCATTTTTCTTTCTGCCTCTACATCTTGTTTCTGTGTCCTCTTATTATTTTTCCTAATACTCATTAAGGGTAAATTATTTGTAGGTATATTTACAATTTCTATGGTTTTTAAAATTCAAAACCATGCCATAGAAAATTCCCAACCCCAGATATTATTGTAAAGCAAATTGATTTTGGACTGGAAATCAACTTCTTTTAGTCTGATGAAACAGAACATCCACACACCCTGGGTACATGAGACAGGTTTATTACTTACGGACAGGGAGCAAGGGCATGCAGAAGCTTTGGATTCATTCCAAGCTTGTCCCTGGCAGTCATGAAGGCTCCACACAGAGGATTCAGTTTCATCCAAATATGGTCCACTTACACTAAAGCTTAAGGACCCCAGGAAGATGTCCACCTTGGGTTTTGTGCCCTAGAACCACAACACTCTCTAAATCATTAAAGGACATACTGATTCTAGGAAAACTGGAATAGAAATTATGTTGTTCCACTTAGTTTCTTCCTAGCTTATGGTGTTACCTTCTCAGTATATTTTGCAGTTGTCCTGAGAACTACAAGGGATAACGTGGGACTGTGAACAGGGTTGTTCCAAGACGACTTGGAGAATGCTCTTGCCATCACTCCTGAGGTTACATTGGGTTAACTGGGGTTTAAAGATGATGCTAAGACTGCTGATTGGCAGATCATAGAGGGGGAGATATTTTTCTCTTATACACTGGTGTACACACTGGTATCTGATTGTCCTACTCTATTTACATGGGCCCTCAAAGCAGAATACAGAGATGCAGCAGAGGACACAGTCAGAGATATAAGGTATGAGAGGTTCTTTTTACATTACTGCTGGAATTGAAGACAGTAAGTATGTGAGCCAATGACACTATGAAACAAAAGGAAAGTTTTAATTGATTAATTTACTATTGTTATTACTGGTAGCAAGGATTGACCCAGGAGCTGTTCACTACTGATCCACATCTGCAGGCCTTTTTATTTGTAGACAGGCTCTAGCTAAGTTTCTTAGTGCTTCACTTATTTTCTGAGACTAGTCTTAAACTTTCATCCTTCTAGCTCAGCCTCCCAAGCCACTGGGATTATAGGCATGCACCACTCTGGCCAGCCAAAGGTATTTATTATTAAATGATACTAAAAATTGTACATATTCATAGGGTATCACAAGATATTTGAATACAATGTGCACATTAGCAATCTTCAAATCAGGTTAGGCATACTTGTCTCTCAAATAGCTACCATGTCTTAGGGCAAAACTTCTCAAAATATTTTCCCAGATGTTTTAAAATATAGAATATATGATGATAAATGAGAGAAAAAGTATCTACTGTACATTTTCAGAAAACATTGAAATTTATTGTTTACTTTTTAAAAAGACTTAAATAACTACCAACACATATAAAAAGCTGATTCTGAATGGTTTTCTGATGTAAATTTTTAAGTTATTAATTGATGTCCTTGAAGAAAATGAAGGGAACCACCTCCCTATGCATATATGTCTTAGTATATGCATCTATGTTTAACAGAACCTATGTTATTAACATTAAATAAAGACATATAAAAGTATTTCTATTAAAATAAGAGCTTCTACTTGGTTGAAACTCATACAGACATTTGATAAACTCAGTCAGTATATTCTAAAGCCAAGGAGATGTAAACCTATAATCAATGAATCAATCACCTTTACACACATAGCAGCAGAAACTCTTACAATTATCATTAAAAACACACTGTGAAACTACAGGTGAGTCCTCATCATGATACTTCAAACTAAAAAATGACCATGTCATGTTATCTTTTTCTGTTGCAATAACCAAATACCCCAGACTGAGTACTTGACAAAGAAATTTAGTGACCTACAGTTCGGGAGATTCAAGAGTATGATGCCAGCATCTGCTCAACTCTTTGAGGAACTAAGAGTAGGTGAAATCACAATCATGGGAGCACATACACAATAGACCACAGGACAGGACAGGGAGTGAGACAGCAGAGACACCAGAACTCTCTGTAAGACAGCCCAATTTCATGGGAACTGATATACTCCAGACATTACCATTTATCCCTTTAAGCATGACCTCCCAATGACCCAACCACCTTGTACTTGCATCCACACGTCAAAGTTTCCACCTCCTCCAAAACCTTGCAAATCTTCCAGCACATGGAAGTTTCTTTTTTTTTTTTTGGGGGGGGAGGAATTCACTTATGTGTCCAGAGAGGAAGGCATGAAGTAAATAATATTTCTGCAGTTGAATTCTATTACCAACAAAATGTGAAAATACAAAGTACAATGAAAATACAATTTTCTAAGTCAAATATAAAAGAGTTGAATCTGATCATTTTCATTTATAGAAAGTACAAAAAATGAAAATGATCTATGGTATTTAATGTCACATACTGGTCCCTGTTGAATATCATTATGGTAGAGGCACAAAGAGGAATCTTTGAGATGGACAAGATTGTATTTTGATGTAGAAGAAGCTGAAGGCAAAAGTGTATATACTTTATAAAATTTTACTTAGTAATTTATGAATGATTTGTACATAAAGCTGCTTTGATGGTTTATTGGTAATTTAAAAATCATTTGTAACAATAAAAAATTACACCTAATGTATATTATCAAGGTGGACATGAAATATATGAAACAGAGCAGGGGTTTTTAGTGGACAATTGCATCCCATTCTGTCCATTTCTATATTGTAGGGATTCTGACCATGGAAATATTATAGAGGAACATTCCTCTGGTGAGCAAACTCCTGGGGAGTAACAAACACCATTTTACTACCCTTAGAATGTCCTGCAGTTTTTACTAGGAACTAGTAAGATAACTAATACATGTGAACCATCTAGCTGTAATGGCAATGCCCTGCTCTGTTCTATAGTCTTATCAGCCTTGACCTTGATCTCAGGCACATAGCTCCTGTGAATAAAGGAACTTGCTTGCTAGATAACCACAATGTTTCTCTAAGCTTTGCTGATCCTGGATCTGCCCACCTAACAGTAACTTCAGACAATGGACTTTCTTGAGAGCTGCACAAAGCTCCTAACATTGCATATTGTAACTGTAGAATGTAACTGCAGAATAAGCCACTTTACTCATACCATAAACTATAATGTAGTTGTGGCAGTAATGACCTAATGTAACCTATTGGTATAAATAAATGCAGCTGCTTGGATGAGCAACCACCTTTCTGCTGCATCTTGTCTCTATTTATCTTTTTACTTTCCTTATACTATATTAAAAATAACTAAATTTACCTGCTAAAGGCAAATATCATTGGAGTACATTAACTTGGAAAATTCTTCAAAGACACAGAGCTAAGACATAAACATGAAAGTAGATAAATGAAAAATTCTTTCCACATTTTTAACATGATTTAATCTAAAATTTTAACATTTTTAATCTATATGAAATTATGTGAAATCAGTTTGAAATAGTTCTAATTAAATATAAAATTTACATATAATTTTTCAAAATTATTATTGACAGATCATAACAATCAAGATATATGCATGTGTGCATGTTCATGTTCACAAACACACATATAAAACCATACACACACATTTATAACACACAAGGGTATGTGTATAAACCAACACTCACAAATGATATGACTGATATTAACTGTGCTTAAATTTCTGTTGGTAAGAATAAATAAAAAACTATAAATTGTACAAAACCTAATAGAGTGCATATTTTACATTCTCCTCATAAATTAGAAATTTAAGATTTTTTTTATACATGCAAACTAGCCTGAATGTGCTGGTGTCTTTGATTATTAGCAAAAAGGGGTTGAAAGCTGGAAAGCACCCAGAGATTATTGCAGCCAAAATTATCAGGAACAATTTGGGATTATTAAAGATACAGGAAAGTGTATAAAAATACTAAAGTGCTCACTAGGACAAGAATTGTTTTGTTGGCTCTGTACTCAGGGGAGGACCTGGGCAAACACACTGCATTCTCTGCTTGTGCCTGTGCAGAATGAGCACCATGGAGCTGCTGGCCTAGAGCATGAGCATCCCTGCTTCCATACACACACATACAGCATCAGGGAGTGACAGGGTTGCTGCAAGCAATGATTCCAGGGCTTTTTCATTAGAGCACCAGAAAATCTACTAAGATCTTGACATTTTTGGAGCTCCCTTTCCCAGTCATGTAAGTAAGAAAGGCATACTTACAAGGAGTTACAGAATCCAGCTCAGGTAGGAGTTACAGGATCCAGCTCAGGTATACGGAGGTACCAATGTACCTGGGAGATTTCACTTTAAGCCCTGCCCACCTAAATTCACTGGGCTGAAGATGGTGGCCTGGAAGACACTCAGAAGGCATATGGTAACAATGGACTCATCACTGCCCACCCTGTTAACATAGAAAAGCAGCTTACATCCAAAATCACCAAGGAAAACTTCCAAACTGAAAAGTGCCCCTGTCTGGGGACTCTCTTTATGCAGGAGAATTAACAAATTGACCATAATCAAGTTCTTAAGAATCAAATTTGTGGGCCTTAACCTGCACCCAGTGAAGAAAATAACAGGTAATAGAGAAGACAGGAATTGCCCAGAACTCCAACGACAGTCTGTGACAGGAAGATGATTCCTACAGCCTTATCACTGGCTGCCATCCTGCCAGTTCCCTGCTGTTCTAGCCAGAGGGTCCTGCAGGGGAATAGGAGGCCTGGACTACCTGTGTCCTGTCAACCAAAATCCAACATTGCCCTCTCTCAAGTGGGAACTGTAAAATTGAACTTAAGGTTTCATTCTCACTAGCAGGTTTCATGATGCTTGAATTAAGAATTAAACCACAAAGTGTGTAAAAATCCCTGCTCTAAATGCAGCACATGGTGATTTTTTAATCTTCTCAACATGAAGCAGGGGCTGAGATTACTTTCATGATTACAAGGAGAATTTGGGTATACAGAGGTTAAGTCTCAAAGTCTTACTCTGATTAGGTGCAGAGAGGGGTTTTGAAATTGTCAGTGGTTAAAGAGAGGGTGCCATGAACCACAATGTTTCCCTAAAGCTAGTAAGTGGAGTTCTTCTATCATTCTGGATTTTTTTTTTTTTTTGTATTTGTTTTTCTATATTACTACTATCTTCTGAACTAGTAGTATTTTGGAATTTCTTATTGAAAAAAAGGTTCCCATTGATTATAAATATTTATTCTACATGTGTAATGGTTAATTTGAATTGTCAGCTTCATCAGATTAAGAGATACCTAGGATTAAGAGGATTATGGGTATGTCTATGTGTCTAGAATGGTTGGCATGTGGGATAGCCAACTGAAATGGAGACCCTCCCTAAGAATGTGCTACACCAAATATGATGATGACTTGTATGGAATAAAAGTTGGAAGAACAAGGAAACAGCAGCAGATGCATGGTTGACTTTTTCTTGAATGGGTTCTTGATTGCTGCTACCATCATCTGAGGATATCAGACTCTTGCTTTTTTACTCTTCCAAAGGTGATTCTCCAGAAACCTTTGGTTTCAAACTAGAGTAGCACTGCTAATCTCTCTTGTTCAGGCCCAGGCTTCAGCCTCTTGGACTTTGCACCTACTGATTCTTCCTTCCAGCTGTCTGACCTGCAGATGGCCATTGTTGACGATCCAGCTTCCAGTAATATAAGCCAATCTTATAAATTCTCCTTTTATAATTGTACTTCCTGTTGATTCTTTTCCTCTAGAGAACCCTGACTAATACAATATGCAATATCAATTACATAAAGGAACATTTAAATATTTTAATAACTGCAAATGCATTGAGTTGGAACTATAGCTCTGAGGCACATGTCCCATGGTGAGTTATGTGCAATGAGGCAGGACTGGTTCCCTGACTCATTTGTTTGTGTGTTAGGAAAACAAGTGCTATCACAGTAATTGTGCCACATTCTCAAGTTATATCCTCAGCTTTGGAACATAAAACACAAATGTATGATGAAAGATTGTATGGCAGAAGCAAATATTCACTGATTTAAGAAGATAAAAATGTGAGTTAATTAATACCTAAGTAAATTTGTTTCAAGGAAGCAAGGTTAGTGAATGATATTTATAACAGGAGACATTCACGCAAACTGGCCCATGTGTGGCATTTGAAAGTTGAAATACTAGAATTTCTTCAGTCATCTGAATTCATATATTTCATAGAATTTGTTGTTTAGAGAAATTTAGGTGATGCTAGTTGTTCACTTTGAAAGTCACTGAATTCATCTGCACAAATATGAGTTAATTAATTGGACTCATTTGCATAATTGGTTGTCAATTCATATCATAATTTTGTGAATAAATATACTCTACCAATATTGACCTCTTACTGACAGGAGGGAGAAATAATGTCCATAAAAAAATGTAGAAAAATTCTCACTCACCAATGACAGCAACAGGATAAGATGGTTTGACCTGCTTGAGCCAACATATCTGTAACTCTAAGATGTGCCAGGGCTGCTAACATTAATTCTGCAGCAAGTATGATGGGTGAACACAGTACAAAAACCCTTTCAATTATTATAAATCCCTCCAACCCTGCAAGGACACTATTTACAATATGTCCCTTAACAAATGCTGTGAGATTTATCATACAGGTGTGGTATGAATGCAGGTATGTTTTGTGCAGTAACGGTAAACTGGTATTAGATTGAAGTGGTACTAAATAAGAACATGGGGAATAGGGGGGTTGGGAAATTTGATTGTGCAAATCCTGTGATGTAGAGGACACAGACAAAGTTCATTAAGTATCCAGCAAAAGCTCATTGGCATGACTAAGTGTAGGCACACATGGGCAAAAAGCCAAGGAACATAAAGACATAGGCCCCAGCAGGTACAAAATACATGGGGTACATGGTTTCACAGGAATTAAGGTGGTACTGAGGATGAAGAGTGAACATCAAAAATGTTGAAGCTCACTGTATTGTAAAATTTGTAGAAGATTCAATGCCTCAGAGGCATTCATACATAGGTGTGGTGAGAAGTTGTGAATAAAGCTGGGGTAGCAGGTCCTGGATTAAGTACTTGTCCAAAACAGGCCCAGAATATGACAAAGAAGTGAATCTAGAGAGACACAATGTTTCTTGAAGGAGACAAATGAGACAAAGAGTATTGGCGGGGGGGGGGGAGGAAACAAAGTAGGTAGAGAGCTAAGGAGGCCGTGATGGCCCAAAGTGCAAGAGAAACACCAGGAAAAGCAAATTAAAAGATGTACACTTCTAGATTTTAAGACTAAGTATGAGTCTTTACAACCATGTGGTATAACTAAGGGACAGAAAATGAGACCAGTGGAAAAAAGGAAAAGTGTCTTGATTTAAGACCAGGCACACAGGAAAGAAGTGATATAAAGAGGCATGCAACCAGAAGAAAGGTGGAGGATGTTGGGGTTGGTGGCAATCAGTTTGGAGTTTGAACTGTGTGTTGAGAATACCTGAGAGTTGATCTTGGACATTTGGTTGTGTGGGACCCAGGAGCTCAGGGGATGGTCAGAGGTAATGGAATTGAAAGCAAATAAAAGAGAAGGAAGAGCACTAATGATGGGTCTTGGGGTAATGAGAGGAAGAATGACTGTCCTGAGGTCCCTAGGATAGGCACCACAGAAGAATGAACATTAAATATCAGGACATAGTTGTGCATGTGGGAGTTGGGATGTGGAATGTCTTCATGGCTGTGAGGGATGGGTGGAAGTTCAGTATGAAGGCTGCAGCTCAGAATGAAGAACCAAGCGTGCCTGAAAAACAGGGTATGTGCAGACTCAGTCCTGCTCTGCTGAGGTGTGACTGACAAATACATTTGTACACATACATGGTGTACAACACATGGATCTTACATAAGTAGATATTGTAAACTGCTTACCAGAGCCTCTTAATTAACATATCTATCACTTAAGATGTATGTGCGGTGAGGATATTTAAGATCTTAAAGCAAATATCAAGTATACAAAAATGTATTATTAACTTCATTCTCCACATTATACAGCAAATCCTTGTTGATGTTAGAATGGAATTTTGTGCACTTTAAACAACCTCCTTGTGTCTCTCACTACCCACCTCTTTACAACCACCATTCCACTCTATTTCTATGAAGTTGACCTATTAGATGTCACATAAGAGATATCAAACTGTAATCTTGTCTGATTTATGTCACAATACTATCCTCAGTGTTCACTTACATCAGCACAGGGACAAATTTTACCTATTTAGAAGGCTCAATAACATTCCATTGAACGTTAGTGGACATTCCACATCACCTACACACAGTCATCCACTGGTGGACACTGTCTTTCCTTGCTTCTGTCTTGCTTCTTGTGAACAGTATTGCAAGAAAAATGGAGATACAGATGTTTCTGTGAGAGATAAATTATTTTCTTTCAGATGCATTCCAGGTAGGGGGATTGCTGTATCACATGTAAGTTTTACTCTCAATTTTCCAAGGCACCTTTATGCAGTTTTTCCATGGTGGGTGTGCCGATTTACACAATCTCCCAAATAATCTGCCCAAGGTTCTCTTTGCTCCATATTACTGCCAATACTTTTTATCTCTGGTTAATATTTTTAATATTAACCCTCCCAAAACGGTGAGGTAATATCTCTTCATATTTTTTAGCATTTTACTGATTAGTCACTATGAGCATATTTAATGTATCTACTGAGCACTTTGTCTGAAAATATATCTACTCAAGTACTTGACCAAATTTTTGAAAACAAATTTTACTGTGCATTTTAAGGTAGACAAAACAATACCATAAGATTGAGTGAAATTGTCACTAGAATTGAACAAACTCATTTATCTCTTATCTCACATAGATACATATATTCCCCCATGTCAAGAACAGTCATGATCTAATCATGCAACAAAACTCCTAACTGGAATTCAGTACCTTTAACACAGTCAATATATCATATATAAGAATTTCTGAATTGTTCACCCTGAGTATTTACTATTTGGTATGTTTTTACCTACAGCCATGGGTAGGTAGATTTTTATATGGATTTCATGTGGAGCCAATTTCTACGAAATTGATGTCTCCAGGAAAGTCAAGTCTTCCCAAGTTTATGTGCCAACTTGAATGTTCCCAAAATGTGAATGTTTCAGCATTACCCTAGGCAGCTCCAGATGCCCAGGGAGTCATATGTGACCTGAGTAAAGGAATAAAAAAATGCATAGGGAGAGAAATCTCTAATAGTAGGAATGTTTGAAGAAGCACTCAAATCCCAGAGCTGGGATTAAGCTCTGTCACAAGACTTTCTGTTACAAGAAAGTTTCTCCATGGTTTCTGCCTGGGTATGTTGTCCCCTGTTTGCAGTCTAAACCTACAACCTTATTTCTCCCCCTGCATTTATCTAGTAACTTCCCATTCTCCTGAGTACCAGTATGCTGTGTTTATCAGAAATACTTGTATGAAGCAAATTTAGTCTATGCTGAGGTTGGTGTTTAGGTTTTCTGCAAAGGAATTTCTAGTTCTTTCTTTTCTGGGTTGAGTTCACTGCTGCCTATGCCTTTATGTCCATTTTCATAAAATTTTGAAAGTGTTGACCCTGTTATAGAAATGCATTACCTTCCCACTGGATGTGGTGTGTCTCCCAAGGTTTTTCTATTGGAAGCCTGATGTCCAGTATTGCAGTGTTAAGAGGTGATGGGGCCCTTATGAGGCAAGGCCTGTTGGAAGTGACAGGCCTTTGAGGTGTTTGACAATTGAAATGATCAAGATAATTCTTTCGGGCCCCTGGCTAATTCTGAAAGGAGTGTTATAAAAGACAGAACTGCCCCTAGTCTACTCTTTACCTTCCAAACTCACCATGTGATTTCTCTCACACACATTTCTACAATGATGCCAGTCACCCCCTTATGACAGCACAGGGCCACTCAGGAATTGAGCCCATGTGGGTGGCACACTTGTGAGGGCTCAAAACTATGAAATAATGTTCTTTCTGTAAAGTACTCAGTCTCCTGGGTTTTGTCATAGAAGAAAACAACAGGCTAATACACAAGCCTTTCTGCTATATTCAAGTGAGATGTGTAGACTCTTGCCTCTTGAGGAGGAGGTCCCATTTCCATACTCCCTCCATGATTCTGATTTCAGCTTCCTCCCATCATATTTTATTTCACTTTGATCTACATTCTTTTTCTGTATTTTTAAACAATAATGTTTGGGGCCCAGCTGTCCCAATGTCAATATGAACACACACAGAACCTAGACCTTTTACCAATCCTACAGGCACAATCTGGAAATGAGGCAGTGATATATTACAGGGCACAATGACTGTGACATGGTCATTAGAGTGCAATGAATTTCCTGGGCACAGTGGTGCACACCTGTAATTCCCACAACTCAGGAGGCTGAGGCAGAAGGATCATGAATTTGAACACAGGCTCAGCAACTCAGTGAGGTCCTAAGAAACTCAGTGAGACACTGTGTTTAAATAAAATACAAAATAGAGTCTGGTGTTTTGTTCAGTGGCTAAGTACCCCTGAGTTCAATCCATGGTTAAAAAAAAGTGGGGGGGAGACAAGTTTAGAGTTGGCTTTAGCTTTAAGTCATGATGATATATTTCAGAAAAGAATTATCCAGGATGTTGGCAATCAATATTCATCATGGATGAAGCATGGAATGATTAATGAAACCCCTCAATGGCCCATCCATCACTTCTCTTTTGAAGTCTGTACAATTGACTTTAAGGGCCTCTCTCCATGTAGGTTGAAGACTTTAGGCACAGTATTTTCCTTGGATCTCCAAAACCTTTGATGTGTTGGGTGTTGCTCTTCCCTTGCTGAAGTCTCAATTCCCTCTGCACTAAAATGTTTTCTTAAAGTTGATGTTATCCAAGGCTCTTCATTAGCATAAACCACCTTGAACCAACATTCCATACCCAAAACAGCAAATTCATTCTCCTATGGTATGTTTGCATACATGTAAAATGAAGAGAATTATCTTTGAACAAAGCCCATCACTTTCTTTCAAAAGTAAAAAGACACTAAAAAAAAATGTTTGGACCACTATTGCCCTGGAACATTTTAAAAAAATCCTTATGTGCCTTAATTCTGTCATAAAAACACATACAAACCACACCCCCATCTTTAAAGAACAAGCCATGTGGTTGCTCTCATGTTTCAGGGCTGCAGCATAAATATATTATGATTGGGGAGTGCCATTCCTGAGATGGATTCTGTTGGTTTATTGTTTATTCAGCCTTTGAATGTACCACATGTCCAGTTTCTTCATACAACTTTTGATCTTTTTGGTTGCAAATTGGATCTATAAATATATTAATATGGCAGCCCTTCAGTCTCAGAATGAATTCCTACATCTCCAGGTTTCTGTTTATATTCACTTTTTTTTTTTTTTTTGAGGGGTGTACTAGAAATTGAACTGATGGGCACTCAAACCCTGAGCCACATTCCCAGCCTTATTTATATTTCATTTAGAAGCAGGGTCTCACTGAGTTGCTTAGCCCCTCACCCTTGCTGAGGTTGGCTTTGAACTCATGATCCTCCAGCCTCAGCCTCCCAAGACAATGGGGTTTCAGGTATGGGCCACTGCACTTGGCTCTATTCATATTTTCAATACCAGAATCACCTCTTTGTTTTATCAACTATTTTTCCCCATGTTACATTTTAAATGGTTGCAGTATTTCTAACTTTTCTCCAAGAACTGGATGGCAGTTTCTAAAGATTTTGCTTTCTCTATGTGATCATCTCACAAGAAAAAAGAAAATTGCAACTTGACAAATAAAAAAAATAACAACAAAGATGTAATTTTGGAACTGTAATGAATATCTTCTTAGGTCTGAAATGTCTGTTATCATCATCTATCCTAGCTGGTGACCTAATGCTGGCTTCACAAAATCTGACTATTAAAAAATTAAGAAACCAACAAAGAAAGCATACAAACACACAAAAGTACCATCTCAAAATCTGTGATGGCTCTCTGACCTTAAAGGTCCATGGGAAGAGAGAGAGGAACTGAAATTCTTTATTCTTATATAGAAGATATACAAGGGAAGGTTCCACAAAACATTCTATCCCCAAAAGGGCAAAGGGGTAAGATTATAAAGGAACAGATGAGTGTAACTCAACCCCAGCAGATAACCCCTAATTCTGGAGCCACACCTCGTTTTCCAAGCTAGGGTAATGCCCAAATTACTGTGACCTGGAACTACTGTGGCAGACTAAAGACAATATGTTCAGAACCTGGTGCATCAGGACTGAAAGGGATCTTGTATCCAGGGCAGCTCCTGACATATTTCCCTTTTCTTAAAATTAAAAAAAAAAAAAAAGGCAACTGGTAATTTATGTTTTAGTCACTGGATTCTTGTTCTGAGAAGACCATGACCTACTCTTGAGACATAAAAAAAATTAGTAGAAAACATATCATTTCAATAATATACTATATAGAATGTTTCAGCATATTTAGGATTAAGGTCATTTAATTAGCTTTGGAAGATCCAGGTTATTATGATTACTCTGCCAAAAACTCATCAGAAGATTCTTAATCTTTTCCCAATTTTACTTGGAAGCATTCTGTTTGGCCACAGTAACACGGACATTTTTATTTGCATAGCATTTAAGCCTTTCCACAAACCATGGAGCAGGGGGCTCATTTGCATTACTCATTACAGTGGCTTCTAGAGCATTTAACTTAGTTTCAATCCTTCCATTAGCATTTATCTGACTATGAAGGTTCTTGGAAGTAATTTATGTCAAATTATTAAGAAAATTTACATGTTGTAAGTTTTAAAACATAGCCACAGAAGCTGTAGTATAGGAACAATGAATAATACTTTAAATAGTCACTTCATTGATCATGAGATCAAGAACTTGCCTAGGTCTGGTTAATTGGCATGCACCTGTTTCAAGGCCTGAATTTTAACTTCAGCATGCTAGCTGGCAACAGGACAAAGAGACATTGATGAGGATCAATGTCCTTTTTATCCTACTATAAAGTGATAAAATTAGGCAAGCTGTACCTTTTATAGGTTACAGAATATCTAACCATCTTTTCAATTCTCACATTTAAGGAGTCTTTTAGTTCTGTCAGTAATGTAAACATTCTGAAGGCAGAAGTCAAACATCAAAACATCCTTTTGAGTGCTATCTCACTGAAACTTCAGGTTTCTAAGAGTTATGTCATCTTCATGTTATTGTAGGAGACCATTTCTAGACACCTTATGTTGACAATACATAGGCCAAACCCATCCATTTAGAAAATGTGCCAATTTCTATTGTAGAATGATTAAGGCAATAATACATTGTTGAATATTTTATGTAAATAACTGGCCTATATAGAAAATTTCTATTTCAACTATCTTTCTATTTTGACAATTATCCATATATATTGTCTTAATTTGTAAGGATCAGCATAATTGGCTTGTTTAGGATTCTCATATACTGTCTTTTTCTCAAAAGATACTGCCAGACAGCCTGTTTACCATAGGATCAACATATAGCTATAACTGACCATTTCAGTGAGTATAATTCATCTAGTTGCATGGGTAGACTTTCCAGTATTCACTGCAAAGAACATCAAAGGTGTACCTGAGGGGCTGTGTTTGTGGGTCAGCGGTAGAGCACTTGCTTAGCATGTGCAAGACACTGGATTCAATTCTTAGCACCACATAAAGATAAATAAAAGTATTCTGTCCAACTACAACGTGTGTGTGTGTGTGTGTGTGTGTGTGTGTTTTCTTTAAGGGTGGACTTGAGAAATGGGTCCATGGATGTTTGTTCATAATTTTTACTTACCTGAGAAGCCCATGAAGCTGCATGGCTATAAACTCTGCAGCTGGAAATTTATCTTCCTGTGTGAGGTTTTTCAACCTTTCCACAACGACCAGTTAAAACTCTTTTGAAATTTGATTTAACTTACTAATCACGTTCAGTAGCACTAAGACTCCCAGTATCACAATTAAGAAAAATTTAAAAAAATATTTTTGTAACATCTATTATGTGCTATGGAATTCTCTTTTCCCATCTTTTTATTTAATAAAATTGAGTAGAGACTTGGCATAAGCCATAGTATCATTAGTTTTAAGTTATACAGGCAATGTTTAATGTAGTACAAGTATTTAAATAATAAGAAAAGATTTATTATTTCTAGCTGGTTGTGAAACTTGACAAAGTTATTTAATGGGAACAAGGTAAATAGAAACTTACCCTTTACTAAATGTATGACTTGATTTTGACTTTAACAGAATTACCAAAAATAAAGAATACAATAAGTTGTATATAAATATTTGCATGCTGAAATTAGCTCTAGATTAACTTAAATATTTATCTTAATTTGGAAAGAAGCAAGAGACAGAGATCTTAATGTAGTAGTGGTGGTCTTTACTAGGAGCATGAGAAATATGTAGACATCTATCCAAAATAGGAGGTACATATGTTAAATAACCCTAGAGAAGATATTTTGTTACCATTAATAAAGAATGAAATAGAGAAATGAACAGTAATTTATCTATGAATCCATGAAAAACTGGCATTATGGTTATCAACTTAGTGTTGACCTAAGTAGGGAGAATTAGTATCTCAAATGTTAATGGGTAAAAACAAGTCAACAGTGTGGTTTAAGACAGTGATCTAATTTAGAATTTATGACATTGAGCTAGCAATAACATTTTTAGAGATCTATTACAAACAATCTTTGTGCATTAAAAAAAAAACAGTTGTATGAGCACCTTAATAACTTTATTTAACGTAGTAAAATTAATTCTAATAATTATGTCTAATTATGGTGTTAGTAATTTAAAAATATCAATGTATGTAGGACATTGTCAGATATTATTAAAGTTTAGAAAAGGTCTATTATGTTAGTTTTTTATTGAAATATGCTATTGACTGTTGAGCTGATTTATTTATGGCTGTTTGTCTAATATTTTAGGCATAACTATTTTCAGAGTTTTTTTTTTTTCCTTTCTTTTTCAGTAATAAACTGTTGCCAGGTGCTTGAAGTAAGACCCTGTTTTAATGTTAAGGGGGTTTCAAAATCTGTAACTTAGGAGCAAACATTTTCCCCAGGAAATTTATTTCTCTTGGAGCTATGACTAGCATTTTAATCTCTTGCTGTCTGTATGTTTGCCTTTCTGTTTCTTCATTTGGGCTGCATTTAACTATGCTGTAACATCTAAACTTGGCTAGAATTATGTTCACCTTTGTAAATCCCTTGGAATGTCTAGGGCTAACTGGAGATAAACACCTTTTCAAATGGGTGGCCCCCTATAAGTTTAAGGTACTGTATTGTCTTTTATAAGTCTATGAAAAATAGTAGAATTTTTCTAAAGACTTACTAAAATTATGATTTTAAAAAAACTCTTTAATTTTTTTTTTAGTTGTAGTTGGACACAATATATTTATTTTTATGTGGTGCCAAAGATTGAACCCAGTGCCTCACATGTGTGAGGCAGGCACTCTACCATTGAACTACAGCCCCAGCCCCTAAAATTATATTTTAGGAATTTTGTTTATCTTTTAGATACCAATCTGTCCTGGGGAACTGTCTGCTCCAAATTGTCAGGCTTGTCCCTATTCTGTGTTAGTGGGACATGGTTAAGATAAATCTCCTTTAAAACTGTTTTTAAGATGGCCTTCTATTGCATAGTTTAGCTAAGTAATAGCATAATATGCCATACATTCTGAAACCCTACAGTACATTTACTTGGACCTTTAAAAAAAAAACTCCCTAAATTTGTTTTGGTCTATATTAAGTTTTAGAGGTTCCTTTGATCTTTCCAATTTTTAAGCCCTTCTTTGATGATAGTAGTTGAGGCTAGATATGAAAATGAGATAACTAGCTGATTCATCCTAACAATTTAAGTAGAACCCCCCAATCTCTTTCAGAGAGAATGTCTTAAAATATCTCTATATCTCAGAATATTATCCTTTAAGTAGGTGTCACTAAACTGTCTTTTAAATAATATGATTAAGGTTGTTTCCCATTTAAGGTGGCAACATACATGTCTTACAATGTTTCATGAATTATAGGTCCAGTCAGAGAATTTATATAAGATAAATTAATTTACAAAAAAGCTTAAAACTTTTATTGTTCAAAACTAATGTACAACTTTAATTTGGAGAACACTAATCCTTATAACCTCTTATAATTACTACATTACCTCTGCAACTTTTCTTAATAAAACAGCTATTAAGAGTTTCTAAGAGAACCTGGCAAGGGATAAAAATCTTTTTTTTTTTTTTTTTTTTTTTTTAGTTTGAGAACACATACAGGCAGGAACGTGAAACTAAATTTTGCCTGAAAAGGATATCTTTTGTTAGTATTTACAGATGGGCATTCTTAAGTAAAATGTAGGCTCTGTGTAGCTTCGGGAGCAGCCCTGTGTGAAACAGAAAGTATAGGTTAAGGGTTGCAAGCCAGGACCAAAAAGCCCTGTTTGGGTGACAATGAAATGAACAATGGGAAGACTGCTAGAGGTGGGACTTATCTGCCAAATTTCTCTCTCCATGTGGCTACAGAGTTTTTTTTTTTTTTTTTTTTTTTTGTAAAAGCACGTAACCAGAATATTCCACGAGGCTCTGTTTGAAACTTTGTGTATACGCATGTGCCATTACCAGCAGTCCTGGCCAAACCCCATGGTAGCTTGGCATGTACTGTCTGCTTTTGCCAGTGGTTGTCATGGTGAGAAAACAGCATATGGCTAGTGGGCATGGCCATTGCCAGCAGCTGTGGCTGCACCTGACACTTTGGCAGTGCAAGACATGGGTTCTCCCTACTGGGGCGGGCTTTGCATCCACATTCACCCTGTGAGGGCTGGGCTTGTTGCCCACCATAGGGTCCTGCTCGGGGTAAGTGCCCTGGAAACTTCCCCAATGTGTCATACTCCCTTCAATCAGTCTACCTTCCCCCACCTGTAGTCCCTCTGCGACCCACATCTTGTGGAACTTCGCCATTCCCCCAGGGTCCAGGAGGTTGAAGCGGTGACCTTGTATTCCCCTGGCTGATGGGTCAGTTGGCATGAGGCAGGAGAAGCGGGGCTGATGGTCATGGCTGCAGCTGCTGACTCCAGCTTGGGTTTGCCCTGTGACCTCGCCCTTATGTTTGCTCCCCAAATTTCCCCAGATGTCCAGGTCTTACCTGGTCTGTTCCTACTTGGGATACAGCCAGGGAAGTGCCAACAGTTTATGCTGGTGCTAGTGGGTCTGTGCTTGGATGGCCATGCCAAAATTTTGTCATTTCCCACTCTGTGAGCTCCGGAGCCAGGGTAAGTGGATAGTCTTCTCTCAAAGGACCATCTCCCTGCATTTTGTTTACTTAGTGCTCACTCTCCTGGGAGCATCTCAAAAACTCTTTTAACATAAAAAATGGGCCCCTCAGCAGATGATGCCACCATTACCAAATTCTAAGGCAACGTGTGCCCAGTTAAACTAGCATTTTCAAGTGGCAGAATTATCTGGCGGCACCACAGGGGGCAGCGGTCAAAGCCCTGCATCTGCCCCAAAACAGCTGGAAAAAAAATGCCTCTTTAAAAGTAGAAAAACCCACACCTCCCCCACCCCGTAACAATCTTACCATTAAACAAACAAACAAACAAAAACAAAAACAACAAAAAACAGCTTTTCTTTTGTTTTCTCACTCTCCAAGTGTGGATTCCTGACATATAACCCAGAAAATCTTTACCTAATATTTCAAAATATAAAAATTAAATATATATATAAACAACTTTTCCCATGGAAGAGGGAAAAACTTAGCAACATATTCCTTATCATCTTAATTTCTGTGGTACTTTGAATTTTCTAATTTCTCATTTTTTATGTCTATTTATTTTCCCCAGAGTTGCAGAAAATAAAATTTTTTGCTGTTTCTAAAGGAAAAAAAAAATCCAGATATTATAAGTTTAATGTTACATTGTTTTTCTTCTAATTCACTTATTTTCTCCATCTTAACTGATAATACCCTGAAATCCTAAGTGGGCTTAACTTCTGGAGAAAAACACCAAACCCACTAAATTTCTAAAATTTATGCTGTAATCCCAATGGGGCCTCCATTTATTGCCATCTACCCTAACTGGAGACCCAATTCTGGCTTCACAAAATTTGACTATTCCAATAACTTAAGAAAATGACAAAAAACACAAGCACACAGTAGTAACTTCTCAGAGTCTGTGATGGCTCTCCAACCTTAAAGGTCCATGGATACAGAGAGCCAGTGGAATTATTTATTCTTATATAGGAGATACACAAGGAGAAGTTCCATGGAACATTCTATCCCCAAAAGAACAAAGGGGTAGGATTAATTACAAAGGAACATTTGAGTGTAACTCAACCTCAGTGGGTAACACCTACTCCTGGAGGCACACCTTTTATCCTAGCTGGGGGAACTCCAAAGTTACTGAGACTTGAGACTACCATGCCAGACTAAAGACAGTAATTGTTCAGAACCTGGTGCATCAGGAATTGAAGGGATCTACATCCAGGGCAGCTCCTGACAGTCTGTACCATAGTGTTATCTAAGAATTTCTTTATTTCTATCACATTAACTAGTTATGCCAATTAAATTTTAAGCAACTATAAAAGTAATATCACATTCTCAATTAATACATAATCTCCCTGAAAATTATTATATTCAGAAGCATATGCAATATAACACCTTGCTATAATTCTCATAGATCAAAATTTTCCTCAATAATGTATATTTTGCTGATATGCAAGGCATGCAAGTTACAGATGCACACATTGTATGCATTAGGTTTTGATGGAGTATGCTTTTTTTAAAAAAATTGACTAAAGCTCTGATGTATCATTGGTATTTATAGGGCTTCTCTTTAATACTCAAACTGTGGAGATTTTTAAAGACGTGAACCTTCATTAAAAGCTTTGTCACATTGTTTAAATTTGTGGGGTGTAATCACTACTATATTGTCTAATAATTTTCCAATGGTGAGTTTTGATTAAAAACTTTGCCACATTTCTTTTTAGTACAGTAAGTTGTCTTTCTAGTATAAAATCTTTGGTGATCAATAAGGTGTGATTGCACATTAAATGACTTTTCATTTTATAGATTTTCAAAAATTCTCAAGTATGAATTCTCTGGTGCTTCATAACACTTGAAACATACTTAGAAACTCTGCCACATTCTTCACATTTGTATGGCTCTTCCCCAGTATAAATTTTCTGGTCAACATTGAGGCTGGAAATTTGACTAAAAGTTTTGCCACATTTTTTATATTTGTATGGGTTCCCTCCAGTATAAATTCTCTGGTGACCTATAAGACTTTGCAAAGTATGTAGGAATGTAAGAATCTTTACATTCTTATGTCTTCTCTAGTATGAATTCTCTGGTGTTGTATAAGACGTGATCTTTGATTAAATGCTTTGCCACATTCTTTACATTTGTGTGGCTTCTCTCCAGTATGAATTCTCTGGTGTTGATTAAGATGTGATCCTCGATTAAAAGCTTTGCCACATTCTTTACATGTGTATGGCTTCTCTCCAGTGTGATTTCTCTGGTGTTGAGTAAGTTGTGATGTTCGATTAAAAGCTTGGCCACATTCTTTACATTTGTATGGCTTCTCTCCAGTATGAATTCTCTGGTGATCAATAAGGGTTTTCTTGAGAGCAAAAGCTCTGCCACATTCTGTACATTTGTATGGCTTCTCTCCAGTATGAATTCTCTGGTGACGAGTAAGGTGTGATGGTTGATTAAAAGCTTTGCCACACTCTTTACATCCATATGGCTTCTCTCCAGTATGAATTTTTTGGTGATGCATAAGGTAGGATTTTCGATTAAAAGCTTTACTACATTCTTCACACTTGTATGGCTTCTCTCCAGTATGAATTCTTTGGTGACGAGAAAGGTGTGTTCTTTGATTAAAAGCTTTGCCACATTCTTTACATTTGTAGGGCTTCTCTCCAGTATGAATTCTCTGGTGAACAATAAGGCTTTGTTTAATATTAAAAGCTTTACCACATCCTTTACATTCGTATGGTTTCTCTCCAGTATGAAATCTCTGGTGAACTAAAAGGTTTGACCTTTGATTTAAAACTTTGCCACATTCTTTACATTTGTATGGTCTCTCCCTGGTATGAATTCTCTGTTGTTGAATAAGGTGTGGTCTTCTATTAAAAGCTTTGCCACATTCTTTACATTTGTAGGGCTTCTCTCCAGTATGAATACTGCAGTTTTTAATAAGTTTTGAATGACACTTAAAGAGTTTGCCACATTCCTTACATTTCTTTGGTCTCTCTCCACAGAAAATCCTATGGTGTTTAGTAATGATTGAGGTTTGAGTAAAACCTTTGTCACATTCTTTACTTATGTAGGGTATATCACTGTTATGATAAAGGGTTGAGGAATCCTTAAATGCTTTGAAATACTTTTTAACCTTGTAGGGCTTCTCTCCAGTATGAATTCTCTGGTGTACAGTAATGCTTTCAATTTTATTTAAAGCTCTTTCACATTCCTTACATTGATAATTCTTTTCTTGGATATGAAAGTTTGGATGGATACATTTTGAGACTTTATGAAAAACTTTCTCACTTTTATTGTGTTCATAAACCTTCTTTTTAAAATGGTCGCACTGATGTTTTCTAGGACTAAAAAAAAAGCATTAAATTTTGATGAGTTTCACAGAATTATACTGATTTACACAAAAATAAATATAGTGCTAATTACTTAGGGTATAGACCTGTCAAAAGATCTTGAATGATTTATCATAAATGTAGAGATCTAATTATCTATATCTAAATTTATCTTAAGCAATAGTAGGTAAGTACAAATCTTCCCACATTCATTAAAATTCCATGTTTTAGCACAAGAAAAAACTACACATCAGTCTTTTTGTAAAATAAGAATGAGATTGATCACAGTCAGAAATATGTTCTTTATTTTTTAACCTCTTGTCTATAGAAATGTTTAAGTGAATGTTTACTCAATGCTATATTTCAGAGTATTCCAGTAACTAAATGAAACATAAACCGGACTCAGTAGCAAATATTGTCATTTATTTAGAGAAACCGTATAATTCTAATTAACTCTGTGGAGAAATATTTAAAGGTACACATATATCCTCAAAAGTGACTAACATATTTTCAGCTGCCTTCTTGGGTTCAGGGGAAGTTTCACGTTCCCACAGCACTGCCACACACACCTCACCCACCAGCACCTGCTTCAGGCTGGTGGGGGCCTTGTTGAGCATGCATATGCTTTGGGTCATGGTCATGGCCCCATGAAGGGCCACAGCCAACTCCATGATGCAGAGGATTGATCCACTGCTGAGTCGGGCTGAAGTACCCCCCTGTTCATGGCACTGATGGTCAACCTTGCCCAATATACAGAAGAGCTACAGCTACATATTGCAAGAACTGCACTGCCTAGAACTCTAGGACAACCTGTACCTGGACACTCCTGAATGCTTTTGTTTTGTTATTGTCTACAGCAGAATCACTGTGAACTACTCAAGCAACTTGTCTTCCACCAAAGAGTGCTTTATAAACAAGAATCTGTGAAAACCACATTTAAACAGTGTTGCATGTTGTAATACCAAGTGGTAGTTAGTATTATACTGGCACTAAAAACGTGTCAGAGAAACTTTTATGAAAGCTTTAGACAAATCAGGAAGAAAAACTGATTTTTGAGTTGGAAGATGACTGCATGCCCTTCCTTTAGGGACTGAAGTATTGGAAAGCTGTGCATGACTGGGTTGCCCAATCAGGAAAATTAAAATACTGTTTTCTTGTATGCATGAACACACACACACACACACACACACACTGTTGGGTTTGGCCCCTGGAAAGAAAAATCCCATATTACATTGGCTTTAAGAACAAAAACATCAATAATTTTCAGAGTCTTTATTACCACTGTGTATTATTATTTCTGAGTAATCAGGTTAAAGCCATCCCAATAACAGTTGTTGCTTTTGGACTTCAGTTGTTTGCAGTGATGGCACTCTCTTCTGCCTTTTGTCAGAGAGTAACACTAGCAACTGTTAAGTGCCTAAGGATTCAGGCAGTTTCAAAATTCCGGTGACTAGATCACAGGAAGCAGTAGTTTTCTAACCCTGGAGGATAAAATGCCTAAGATCTGGGTGGGAGGTGAAACACTCCATTTGCTGTGTCATGCTGACACAATGTTAACCCCTTGAGCTATGCCCAGGAGTATATTATTGTGTCTCAAGTCCACCCTTGTAAAGGCCAGCTCCTCCCTAACTAGCCCCAGTGGTTGCCAATCCACATGTCCATCTGAATCAGGCTTTTTCCTTTACCAGAATGAGTACATGTGCTGCACACCTTGGCTCATGCCAAGTTCTGGCCCCTCCTAGTGGACAAGCCAGCTGGTGTCTTGGCCAAAACCTTTAGTAACCATAATGCTTTTCTCTCAGTTGCCTTTCTGTGTTGGATTCTTAACTTTCTAGCAAAAATCACTATCACTATCTTGCTAAAAATCCCTATGTTTAACTAGCTAACCAAAATGAGAAAGAAGACACTTTGCATTTGTTGAAGGCACATTCCTTGGGATGGCCAGATAATTAGGGCTATGAACTCAGAAGAATCTCATAACAACAGCATTAAGCTTACTGGAGACATGGATGTAATCCAGGAAGTCTCTGGATTTGACACTTCAAATGTTTTCCTTCCTATGTATAAGAGCAAACCCCATCCTACAAAACAAACAAACAACAACAACAAAAAAAAACCCCACAAAATACGCAAATCTTTTCAGATTCCAACTTGGAGTTCTATTGAAGATGTTGTTGCTATGGAAAGTGAAGCAATCAGATGGAGGATTTTGTTAACTTATGAGCCTTTAAATAGCACTGAATGTACACAAGATCATTTCCAGTGGAATTAAAATTAGAAATGTATTTATAGATGCCCTTGACTCAAATTATCAAAAGTCAGGGAGAGTCCCAGAATGGAGTGTCTTCAAAAAATGTGCTTCTGAAAGTGTAGAAAAACTCATGATATGCCAAAGAGAGACTGGAACACTGTTCCCTACAGGGGAGATGGTTGACGGTGAGCCATGCCTCCTTCAAAGATCACCTTACCTGCTAAGTATGGTGGTTTTAATTTTCTGCAGAATTTTCTGATTTACAAGCTTTAGTCTTTCACCTCCCCTAATCTGCCCCAACACCCATCCTGCTACTCCTTACCCAGAAGTGTTTTCTACCGCTTCGCTTGCACCCAGACTTATCTCAGAAGCCTTCCAAGTATTTTAATAAGGCCCCCAAGTCTGCTTTTGGGGCTTAATGCAGACCTGTAGGCCACAGGGACGCTGGATATTCTGGGAGCCTTGTGCCAAGAATTCCTTGAGTCTTTCCTTTGCTTGAATTGCCATCCATGACAGATAAGGAATGCACTATTTTGTGTTTTCTAGAAAGACCTAGTTGCTTCTCCTCCTCTTCTTCTTCGTCTCGTTTCATTTAAAAAGCAATGATTATCAAACTTCCACCTAAAAAAATATTTAATTACTGAATAGTTCTTGTCAACTGAAATGAACTAGTGAAACTCGCTGTTATTCTTCCATTTTTCCATAATCTGAGTGTTTTCCATGTCTGTAAGTGGAAATACTATAGGTGTGTTTAAAACAGAAACAATTCACCTATACTGTGTAGAAAATTACTTTTTTATCACACCATAGAATTTTCAGATTGGAGAACTGCAGTATTATATTAATAATTTGCAGACATTAGTCTAATGTGCACTCATGTACAGATTAGTAATCATTTTTAAGAATAACTAATCAGTATTTAATCATTGTTTTGATTTTTTATTTAAATAAATATTTCTAATCATATTTTTAAAGCTGAGAGAACTGGCTGAATGATTATTTTTTTGAAGGTATTTTGAAGATAGTTTCATAATGGCCTGAAATGTTGCTTGTATACGTGGTTTGACACATATTGTCACTTTGAGGAGTTTTCTGAGATATTATATAATAACATAAACTGACTTCATTTTAAATAATCATCATGCATTTGTTACGTTCATTAAGATAAATTACTGACCTTCCCTCTGTCCCACAATTTTCCATTCCTTTTTTAAAAGTAAATTTTTATTGTCATAGTTTCCATACCTTCCATTTATCATGGTTTGCCATAAATAGTTTATTCCTTGCTCTGCTGAAATTTCTAGCATTTGATGAGGAGACATTCCTGAAAGAAGTTAAAATAACAAATTAATCCACTTATTAGACTGTGGTGAATATACTCTGCAAATATATAAAATTTTACCAAGGTCAGGAAAATATCCATAAGCAGTATAATCTAAGCCCATTATTACTAAAGAAATATACAAAATCCACACTGAAATGATGACAAACTTGCGAGCACTTCCAAAATGATCTTGAGATTTCACAGGAACACAACACTCAAACTTTGACTATGCTGTGACAACACTGTCAAATTACAGCCTCTCAGTCCAACTTTTCCAGATTCCACATGTGACTCAAATGTTGCAGAAAACAACTTTCTCCTTTATTTCTTTTCTTTTATGTTTGGGGGAAATGTAACTTAAAATAAAACACAGGGGTGTTTTATCACTGAACTACATCCATAGACTTTCTATATATACATTTTTATATGTTTTGAGACAGGATGTCACAAAGATGCGGAAGCTCATTTTAAAGTTGCAATTCTATTTATCTAAAATTACAGTTATGTATCATTGCATCTAACCAATTTTTGTTTATTTAGTAACTTTCAAATCTTTTGCAAAACCACTATAATCATGTATTTTTAAAGGGATTTTAAGTGGAAAAACATCAATGAAAGTAACAACACACACACAAAAAGAGAAAATTGACTCAAGCAGAGACAGTATAAAACACTATAAATTGACACTTGGGAAATTGAGAGTTGTTAATTATCTAAAGAATGCCAAGAACCAACTGATTGATAATTATTGAACTAATTAACAATGAAGAAAAGTGACTGAAATTTAGCTTAAAAAAATTAGCAATAGAAAAATGGAAAATTGTGTATTAGAAATATTCTTTAAGAAACAATGTCTGATAAATTAGAAATGTGGGAGAAAAAAATATCAAATTTAACAATCTTAATTAAAAGATTCAAGATAAAGCATTTATACTCAACTTTTTAAAACTCTTCAAGAAAAATTTTTGATAGAACCCAGAAAAATAAATGAGTCATCTGTAAAGATACTTCTATTTGTTTAATAGTTGAATTCTTAGCAGACGTCTTCCAGAAAGGAATTGGAGCATTTAGTCATGTGTGTTTAAAGACAAAAGACACTAATCTAGAATTCTGTATACACAAATACTATTTTTTGAAGCTAAAGAAACATACATGTTATCAAGATATGTAAATGCTCAATAATTTCCTCACTTTTAGACCTGTTCTAAGAGAAACACTAAAGGAAATTCTTTCAATAAAATAAAGTTACACAACAGTATAAGTCATAAAAATTTGAAAGGGAGAAAAGCAAAGTATACACAAATGTAAACTCCATTTTACTGTCATGGTAGTGCATAAAACATTCAATTCTTGCTACAGAATTTGAAAGACTAAAGCATAAAAATTATCATAAATCTCTGTTAATTGGTATAGATAATAAAAAAAGGCTATGATATCAATAACAAATCATGATAAGACATGTAAAGTCACCGATTTTATCAGAAACCAAAGTTAGTTCAGTTTAGAATAAAGTGCAAACTAAGTAGTTTTATTTCTTATTTGTTCATTTTTGTTAATATGACAGTGTAATGTATCTTGACATATCATACAAACATGGAGAATAATTTACCAATCTTTTGGTTGTACATGATGTAGAGTTACACTGGTCATAATTCATACATGAACATGGAAACATTATGTTCAACTCATTCTACCATCTTTGAAGAACTTTTATGTGACTTCAAATTTATAAAAAAATTTGTCATAGAAGATATAAAAAAAATAGGGAGGTATCAAAACATTACTCTAAAAAAATATATGAACCACAAATTAAAGTGTTTTTTTAAAAGTAGGAAAAACTATAAGAAATAACCCAAACTTCAAAAGCTTAAAGTAGTAAGTTCTTCCTCATCAGTAATTTAAGTACAAATAAACTATCATAAAAAACTAATCAGAACACATAAAGTAACCAATAAGATTAAACCTAAATATATGTACTTATGTCAGATTAAGTCTACAGGAGTTTTCCTTTAGATATAAGGTCAGAAATATACTAAAACCAAAAGGATGAAAAGAATATTACATTCAAAATTATGCAGATGATAATATAAGAAATAATTAGAGGCAAAGTAGAATATTACATAATGATAAATGTGGTCAATTTCTAGAATACAATAGTAGTAAGTATACGTGTAGCACAAATCATATTTTCCAAATATAGAAGGCAAACACTGAAAGAATTCAACATGATTGAAAGCAACCAAGTAATACTAGGGAACATCCATCCCCAATTAATGCAAAGGAACAAAATAGAATTGGAATAGTAAACAGGGAATAGAAAATTTAAAAAAGTATTATTACATTAAGAGTCAATTACACCCCCTACCCCAACCCCCCCCAGCGCCTGCCAGGGAGGCGGAACTGTGACCACCGACAGAAAAGGCCCAGTGGCCCGCGGAGGGGTAGAGCTGCCAACCACTCCTGCAAGGTAGGCGGGCCTGCGACCCACCGGCAGAACAGGAGCAGCGGCCTGCTGAGAGGCAGAGCCGCCCCCCGCCCCGCGCCTGCAAGGTAAGCGGAACTGCAACCACCAACAGAACAGGCTAGACCTGCAACTGACAGACAGAACAGGCCCAGTGGCCTGAGGCAGGGTAGAGCCGCCCCCCGCCCGCGCCTGCAAGGTAGGCGGACCAGTGACCCACCAGGAGAACAGCCCCAGAGGCCTGCAGAGGGGCAGTGACACTGCCTGCGCCTGCAAAGTAGGCAGAACTGCGACCACCGACAGAACAAGCCTAGCGGCCCGCAGAGGGACAGAGCCGCCACCCGCGCCTGCAAGGTAGGCGGACCTGCTACCGACCAGCAGAACAGGCCCAGCGGCGTGGTAGGCACATTGCCCCAATTGGAGGAGGGGCAGAGACGCCGCCCACGCCTGCGAGGGAGACTTTGCAACTATACAAGACCAATATAAATATATAGGGGGAAAATCCAATAGCACAAAGTTTCACCAAGCAGAAAGGAACGCAAGCAGTATGAAGAGACAAGGAAACTGCAACCACCAACAAAATGAAACTGAATCCCTTTCTCTCGCCATGCACAAAAGTTAATTCTAAATGGATCAAGGAGCTTGTTATCAAAGCAGAGACATGCCGTCTGATAGAAGAAAAAGTTGGCTACAATCTACATACTGTGGCGTCGGGCTCCAAATTCCTCAATAGGACACCTATAGCACAAGAGTTAATAACTAGAATCAACAAATGGGACTTACTCAAACTAAAAAGTTTTTTCTCAGCAAAAGAAACAATAAGAGAAGTAAATAGGGAGCCTACATCCTGAGAACAAATCTTTACTCCTCACACTTCAGATAGAGCCCTAATATCCAGAGTATACAAAGAACTCAAAAAATTAGACAATAAGAGAACAAACAACCCAATCAACAAATGGGCCAAGGACCTGAACAGACACTTCTCAGAGGAGGACATACAATCAATCAACAAGTACATGAAAAAATGCTCACCATCTCTAGCAGTAGGAGAAATGCAAATCAAAACCACCCTAAGATACCATCTCACTCCAGTAAGATTGGCAGCCATTATGAAGTCAAACAACAATAAGTGCTGGCGAGGATGTGGGGAAAAGGGTACACTTGTACATTGCTGGTGGGACTGCAAATTGGTGCAGTCAATTTGGAAAGCAGCATGGAGATTTCTTGGAAAGCTGGGAATGGAGCCACCATTTGACCCAGCTATTCCCCTTCTCGGTCTATTCCCTAAAGACCTAAAAAGAGCATGCTACAGGGACACTGCTACATTGATGTTCATAGCAGCACAATTCACAATAGCAAGACTGTGGAACCAACCTAGATGCCCTTCAATAGACGAATGGATAAAAAAAAATGTGGCATTTATACACAATGGAGTATTACTCTGCATTAAAAAATGGCAAAATCATAGAATTTGCAGAGAAATGGATGGCATTAGAGCAGATTATGCTAAGTGAAGCTAGCCAATCCCTAAAAAACAAATGCCAAATGTCTTCTTTGATATAAGGAGAGGAACTAAGAACAGAGTAGGTTCGAAGAGCATGAGAAGAAGATTAACATTAAACAGGGATGAGAGGTGGGAGGGAAAGGGAGAGAGAAGGGAAATTGCATGGAAATGGAAGGAGACCCTCAGGGTTATACAAAAGTACATACAAGAGGAAGTGAGGGGAAAGGGAAAAATAATACAAGGGGGACAAATGAATGACAGTAGAGGGGGCAGAGAGAGAAGAGGGGAGGGGAGGGGAGGGGGGATAGTAGAGGATAGGAAAGGCAGCAGAACACAACAGACACTAGTATGGCAATATGTAAATCAATGGATGTGTAACTGATGTGATTCTGCAATCTGTATATGGGGTAAAAATGGGAGCTCATAACCCACTTGAATCAAAGGGTGAAATATGATATATCAAGAACTATGTAATGTTTTGAACAACCAACAATAAAAAATTAAAAAAAAAAAAAAGAGTCAATTACATTAAGAGTCAATCTTGCTGGGTGTGGTGGTGCATGCCTGTAATCCCAGTGGCTTAGGTGGGTGAGATAGGAGGACTGTGAGTCCAAAGCCAGCTTCAACCATAGTGAGGTGCTAAACAACTCAGTGAGACCTTGTTTCTAATTAAAGTACAAAATAGGGCTGGCAATATGCCTCAGTGTTTGAGTGCCCTCAAGTTGAATTCACTATACCACCAAAAAAAAAAAAAAAAAAAAAAAGAGAGAGAGAGAGAATCTTTTAAATAGTTTATGGAAATAAAATCCCAAAGGGACCAGGTAAAAAGAACAATAAAAAAATGTTAATAGTTATTAAATACTGGAATTTTTTTCTATTATAATTAGTTGGGACTCCAAAGGAAATTTGTAACCAAAAATTCGTCAATGTGACTTCAAAGCCAGATTTAGCAACTTAGCAAGACTCTGTTTCAAAAATAAAAATTAAAAAGGGCTGTGCATGTGGCTCAGTTGTTAAGCATCCATGATAGAAGAAAAAAGGCCCTATACCACACAAAGTGATTTAATAAGCTAAGAATAACACAAAACAACTATCAAACACTCAATATTATTTTAGCAAGAAAAAATAAATTACTTTAAAAGTTGTATGGAGTATCCAGGGTACATAAATAACTAACCATTCAAAATAAAGAAAATGTATCCTGATATAAAAATAATGAAAGCTACAATATTCAATAGTTTTATTTCAACATGAAGTTAGATGAGTAAGACATATGTAACAAAACTGAGAGTAATTAGCCCTCAATTTTAGGGCAAGCAAGAAGAAATGGTGTCTGAGATGGAAGGGTGACAGACACATGAGCACTTGTTTTGGGGATAAACAAATTTTATTTTTGTGTAAAAATAAACTTTCTAGAAATATGTTACAAAACAATTTGAATGTAAGACTGTAGGTTTAAGTATAAGTAAGTTAGTTAATGTTTTTTATCAAAATTAAAATTTGAAAAATATATAAAAGATAAACAGAATTGTGGAAATCTTTGTAAGCTACCTTTGAAATACTTAAGTTTTACTCCTACATAAAAGAACAAATTCATTTATGTAGAGATGATGAATATGCTAGTAATTCTAGCTGGGGGGAAGGCCGAGGCAGGGAAATGGAAATATAAAACCAGCTTCAGCAACTTTGCAAGAATCTGTTTCAAAATAAAACTATAAAACTGGAGATGTATCTCAGTATTATAGCAACCCTGATTTCAATCTGCAGTATCCATACACATTTATATGTATTTATATAATAAAATTTAGATAAATTATATGAATAGTCAAATAAACAAAGTAAACAAAGTACTATATATAAATCATAAACAAAACAGGGATAATATTTACACAAGTATGTAAAAGCATATATAACTTAATTGAAAATAGGCACATGGATTATGTGTATTTTAATTTTACTTAATATTGTCCTAAAGCAAGAAGTCATGAATATTTCTATTCAGTTATAACATATGGGTATAAAAATGAAAAAAAAAAATCACCAATGTGAGAAAATGTACTGAACAACACTGAAGCTACTTTAGAATGGAACTCAGAAACTGAGACAAAAGAATATAGAAAATTTAACCCACAAAATTTTTAATAACTATTTCTTAAAAAAAAAATCTCTTTAAATTACAATTCTCAGCTATACTTATATAGCCACAAGAAACAGGCATTGTGAATCATTGCTATTAATAAAATGGCAAAAATATTTCAAAGAAAATGCAGTATAAGCCTGTATAAAAAGCTCTGATAAAAAAATCTGAATAGATAAACTATATTAGAGAAACTGTTCTACAATATTATGTATTACAATGGATTAACTTAGAATTATTCAGACATATGCACAGATTTTCTAGTGACACCCCCTTGAAGATCAATAAACTTCCCCCACCCCAGGAAGATCAATAAACTTCTGTCAGATAATGCAAATCCTCAAGGGCATTAGGGAGTACTTTGTTAATTTTAATGTAGTGAGATTATTGGAGAACAAGAAGGAGCTTCTAGAATTAGGAAGCATGGTAAATACAGGGCAGGGTATGCTCTTAACTGATTGCAAAAAAATAAATAAATAAACCGAGGTTTGTATAAAGCATTTCTGTTGAATTTTGGCTTCTCAATTAACATTTTAAACTGTGGCTTCCTCTTTGACAGTTTATTATTTTTTTCATTGGTTTCTACCCACTTGGATATATCATTGGTGTCAATTTTTTTTCCAAATTCTACAGTTATTTCTTGGGACAGAACAGTGACCAAGGCAGACTTAAATACAGCAAGACGGCTTTATTGGAAAATGGAATATGACACATTTTGGTAATCTCATTGTAACTACTGATGGTTCTTAATGTTGTCCTCATTAGGGAGAAGCACTAATATACTTTGGAAGCATTCTCTAGATTGTGAGGACTGCTTTGAACTATCAAAACTGTAAAGAAAATATAGATTAAACATAGAAAAAAAACCTTTAGATAACATTTTCTTTTCTACACCAATGCCTGATCTTTATTTTAAAAAGAAGGATCTGAAATTTTATCATGTGGAATGCAAGCTGCCAAGATATATTCTACAAAGGAAGAAAAATACCTATTGATAATGAATTAGGGATTCAGAAGGAAATTTATGCTCACCCAGAAAGACCAGGCTTCTATAAATCTCTAACATCACATCTCTATATAAATTCTGCTGAGAAGGATTCAGGTATTTCCATTCCTCTTCAGAGAAATCAATGGCCACATCCCTAAATGTTAATGGTTCCTGAAATAAAAATGAATAAATACATATAACATCAACCTTATGATCATGGTTGGCAGAGTTTTAATTTGACTAAAGTTGTAATAAATTGACAGTTTTAACTTGTCACAAGTTGTAATAAATTGATGATTTTAATTTGACACAAGTTGTAATGAGAGTTAGAAGAACTGGCTCTAACACAGGAGAGTGACCTCAAAATTCAATATACTTTTCAACAGAGTGGTGTACTCTAATGTATTACCTATCTTTGAGGAAAGAAAATGCATTCAAAAGAGAATGAAATAAATACAAAATAAACAAGCAACAAAAATATCAGTGTATATACTACACTTCCATGAAATAAAATGCAAAATTAAGGCAAACATCAGAATATATATCTTAATTGTTATGTTTATATTTTATAAGATAAATTATGCATATTTCTCAGAAGAGAATTTTATATTGAGTTAGAAGAGTGCTTCTCAATTTTAATGTGTACAACCATGAATTGAAAAATTTATTAAAGAACAGACTGTGATTCTGTATTTCTGGGGTGCAGTCTAGTTTGAATATGCATCAAGCTCTCTAGTGATGCAAATGCCAATGGTCCAAAGAAAGCTGATGAATATTACTGAAGTAGAACACTAAAGAAAAAATATTGCTCATAAATTCAAATTTTTAAAGAATTTATGCATTTTATTATTATAGCATGTTGCAATAAGAATTATTTCTGCATTCAAATATACAAATAACAATACAAGAGTTTTTCATACCTTCATGCATAAAACTCAAAATAATCAATGAAGCACATGCCTGTAATTCCAACATGGGAGGATGAAGCACAAAGATGGCAAGTTCAAAGCCATCCTCGCCAACTTAGTGAAGCATTAAGTAACTCAGAGAGATCCTGTCTCTAGATAAAATATAAAAAAGGGCTGAGGATATGACTTAATATTTAAGCATCCCTGGTTCAATCCCTGGTAAGAAAAAAAAAAATCTATGAAACCAGGAATACTTTTAATTTTTGAGGACATTTTTTTCAAACCTCCAGTATACGGTAGTTCCTTGGGTTTGCCCAAGTTTATCTGACCTATAATTTATCAAAAAAGTAATACAAAGGTTAAAATAAAGTGTGAAATTAAAAGAAATTTCAGAGCAGGATGGTCAGTTATTTTAACTAAGAAAGGAAATGGATACACGTAAAAAAAAAAAAAAAAGCAGGAAATCAGATTGATTGAACTGATTAAACACATGAGGCAAATGACTGCCACACTGCAAGTGTGTATCTGAGCATTCTGGTTCCCATGACCTCAGAAAATGAAATGAAACCTCCATTCCTATCAGAGGTGAGAAAACATGTCTTCCTCCCCAAATCCCCTTCTTTGAACCAAATTTTAAAAAAATAATTTGTATTAGACACAGCAGGGTGCTATGAGATGAGAGTCCCCAATGGCAGGCAAAGTATCCCAACTGCTGCCTGGTAAGATTCAACTCCTTCCAGATATTAAACTATAAACAATGTGTGATGTGAACCCAAGGGAAAGGACTCTCATGTCTTTAGATCTGTTTATGACTTGACACTAAAATTCAGATGTGAAAGAAGAGATTAAAATTTCTTACTTTGCCATTGGGCCTTCACCCTAGATGTGTGCTATGGTTGTCTATTTTTTTTTTTTGTTGTTGTTGTTGTTGTTGTTGCTGTTTGTTTGGTTTGTTTTGTTTTGGTATAGAGTATGATGTGAGTTTAAATACCAGTAACATATTTTCATGTATATATGCATGTCTACATAATTAAAAATCATTTAATAGGACTTTCAACATTAAATCAGGAAAAATAAAATTAGTATTTCTTGCATTCCAATTTCTACTCAGATAATTTGAAATCAGCATGTATTAAATTCTGGCACCCTTTTTCCATTGGGTATATTTGTTGATGAGCTATCAAATATTAGAATTTATCCCAAACAGAATAATTCAGGATTAAAATGGGTAAGCACAATTTAGACTGGGTTTAGCTGGGCTATACTGATTTCATCTAGGCTCCTTTAGGCATATACTCTGCTACTTAATATGGTAGCCCTGTGGTCCACTGTGGCATTTTCATTCTCATTCACGTGACATCTTCTCCTTCTTAAGCCTAATCTGAGCTTCTTCACCTTGAGATGTTAGGCTTTACAATAAATAATCAGGGAGAATTCAAGACATTTTAGGCATAGGCATTATACCAGCACATTTACATACTCGCTCTATTTTGCTGGCTGAAATATATAAGCCATTCTAGATTTAAGTCTTGGCAAACATATACTTGTCAATAAGAACAAATACTAAAGAACACTGTCAATGGCCTGGATACAGGGGATAATGAAAAACTGGAGTTTTTGCAGTTCATATCCTTTTTCCTTTCCTTTTCTTTTTTTTTCTTAGAGAGAGAGAGAGAGAGAGAGAGAGAGAGAGAGAGAATTTTTAATATTCATTTTTTAGTTTTCGGCGGACACGATATCTTTATTTGTATGTGGTGCTGAGGATGGAACCTGGGCCGCACACATGCCAGGCGAGCGCACTACCTCTTGAGCCACATCCCCAGCCCTTTCCTTTTCTTTCAGATGACATTTATGTAACTATTCTCAATTCATAAAATTTTATAAGACCATATGTTCTAAGAAGCTAGCCAGGTTTGAGATTCAGAATCACTACAGCCTGACTCAAAAACTCAAAGATTTTGCTAGGCCACAATAATCATGCAACTTTTCTAGGAATTTGTGGAACTGAAGAACGACAACTTTGTAATAGAAGCACAATTCTTTTTAGCTTCACATCCTTTACTAGTTTTTACTATTAAAAAACTTTCAAGAGAACACTGAAGACTCTTTTAAAATATGGAAAAGTTTAGGTAAATAGATTTGGGCTATGTTTAGGAAATGAAGGTAAATGATTCATTTGTTTATTTCTCATTATGGAATAATAGTTAAAATGTACATAACACACATAATATATCTGCATCTTCTTTCATTCTTTTTTTTTTACTTGCAGTCTACTTATAATTTTTAAACTATGCTAAACCTAGAAATTCTTTGTATGGAATAATTTCTTAGTATGAAAACAAGAGATCAAGATAGATCTACTGAGAAGAAATTTCCTCCATCAGCCGTTTGTTTTAACAGCTGGGTATGTAAGAAAATCATCCTTTTATTTATTTATTTATTTTCCAAAATGAAAACCCCCTTTTTTTAAGAACCACCACCTAAAAAGGCTAAAATGCGCAAATTTTCAACTGTGAACTAATGGTTCTCAGTCTGGTTGAAGTGTACAGTCATCTGAAAGGCTCTTCAAATTCCCCCAATCCAAATTTCATTAAAATAATTTAATCTCTATTCCTGGAGAGAGGGACTTAGGATTCAGTGGGGTTTTTTTTGTTTGTTTGTTTTATTTTAATTTGGAAGAAATTAGCATGTGTAGCAAAACTAAAATCCAATTCTTTGAACGAACATCTTTTAATGAATGTGTTGCAAATACATGTAAGATACTTGGTCATGACTTTGGCCTTTCAGACTCACCCAATTTGTTAGTCATGGTTTTCTAACTTTAAAATGTACCTGTGATATTCAACTAATAAAAAGAAAAATCTTATTTCGAATGAAAGTTCTGGAGATTTTTGTTGATAAGTAATTGGTATTTAAAATTTATGCCTGAGGTGAGGCAGCACATTATGGCAGGAGAACATGGAAAGACTAAATTTAAATACCACAAGGGATCCACAATTTCCTTCAAGTCCTTACTCTACAATGAACTAAACAACACTCATCTATGCCTTACCTGTAAATTTCCACCACATCCAACACCCTGTGGACCAAGCTATAATACATGAACCATTAGGGGTCAGTTATCCAAACCAAATGATCTTCATTTTATAACTGATATCCTTTGCATAAATTGATCTTTGATAGCCATTTTTTTTCTCATTAAACCCAGTTAAAACTTATTGAGGCTGAGCACAGAGGCATATGCCTGTAATCCCATGGCTAGGGAGGATCATGATTTGAAAGCCAGCCTCAGCAACAGGGAAGCACTAAGCAACCTGGTGAGACCCTGTACCTAAATAAAATAAAAAATAAGGCTGGGGATGTTACTCAAAGGTTAAGTGCATTGAGTTCAATCACTGGTACCAAAAGATATGTGTTTAGGCAGGGTGAGAATACACCATGCACAGGATGCAGTCCTTAATGCCTTTCATGAACAATATCATTGCAGAAAAGAATTTTATTGGGGAAAATTATTACAGAACGTGTTTTAAGTGATGTGTTATGATGCATGCCAGTAATTCTGGAAACTGAGAAGGCTGATACAGGAGAACTGAAAGTTCAAGACAGGCTTGGTAACTTAATGAGACCCTGTCTCAAAATAAAATGAATAAATAAGTAAATAAAGCTATAACTCGGTGGTTAAAGCACCACTTGATTCCATTTCCAGTATGGAGAAGAATAAACAAACAAACAAACAAATAAATAAATAATAATAGAATGCTTACCAAATTGTGAGTGAAATAAAAAGACTTACATCTAAGTGTTAAAACACGGATAAATGCCTGGGAATATTAAAATATTAAAATCTAAAGTATGGGCTGGGGTTCTGGCTCAGTGGTAGAGTGCTTGCCTAACATGTGTGAGGCACTGGGTTCGATCCTCAGCACCAAATAAGAATAAATATATACAACTTGAGATTTGAACCAAATCACAAATTGTTGCTGTTATTCTGATATACCTAATTATTTCACAAATATAATGTTCAAAATTTTCACTGAAATATGACATACATATAAAAAACATACAAAGCATTTATGTAAAGGTTCAGAAATTATCTAAAATTAGACATATTTTGAAAAGACAGAATAAATCACTTTCTCCATCTATGATATCCAAAATCAAACAGGATCTTAAGAACCAGCACAGAAATGTTTTCTCACATAAATATAAAATGTATATAAATAAAGTTATTGTTATAACAGTTATCTAGATTCAACATCTGCT